AAGTAGAAGTTCCGGTCCTTTCACTCAATGAATCAACATCTCAGTGCCATTTTTCACCACTCTTATTTAAAAGAAGGAGAAGATAAGTTCTTTTCCAGAGTTAAAGTCCGAAATAATCCCCATTTTAGTCTCTCCTGGTCAGCTATGTCTGCTTTAAAATTTACTCACAAGTTCATTTTAAGCGCAGATATGGAAGCAGCGTCTAGCTTTGCCCTGGAAAAATCAGACTCCGTGGGAGTTCACCCTCTGACCACCAAAAAAGAAAACATGGGGGCATCAGGGAGCTCTACCACTATCTGAGGAAAGCTCACCTCCTCACCTTCTCCCGGGGAGAGAGTTTCCAAGCTGCGAGACAGCTGTTGCTCGCTGTCTCAGCTGGCTTTGACACATCCCAGGGCTGACGGCTGAAGAAAGCCACCATCGCCATGGCCGTCACCACCGGAAGTCAACAAATGCAAAATATTGAAGACAAGTCAGTAGTAGTAGACCAGAAATTAGAGGCTCTGCAAGATGAAAATCAAAGATTGGTGCAATCTAATGTGGAGCTGGAAAAAAATATGGCAAGGATGGAGTTTGAACGTGCATCATACTTTCTAAGATTCCAAAATGTGGTAGAAGAGAGTGATGACAACTTGTTACTATTGATGACTGAGTTATTGGTGGACTTGCTCGGAATGGAAAGGGATCAAATCAAAAGAGAAGTTGATCAAGTCTATAGAGTGAATTCAAATTATGCAAGAAGAAATAGAGTGCCTAGGGAAGTTCATATTAGATTCAGCAAAAGAGCAGTATGGGATGAGATCCTGAGACTATGAGGGACCAACTTCTGAAATACAAAGATAAAGGTTTGATAGTTCTCAAACAGATCCCAAGAAGAATTAGAGAAGCTCGAAGAGAATACCAATTCTTAATGAGGAAATTGATCAGTTAAGGACTGAACTTTAGATGGTTGATCTCAGAAGGATCAACAGAGGACTTTTTTTAATAATCTTGGAGAGAGGTGAGGTGGAACCTAACAAACCAGAGGAAACGACTGCAGGAACATCGAAACAAAGAGAGGAAGAAGAGCCTAAAAAGTTTCAATCAGAGGAAGATGTGAGGCCTAAAGATCAGAGGCAGATAAGCCCTTCTAGAAAATTGAGATCTCGACACAACTGAAACTATGGAGGAAATTGGAATTCTTTCAATAAATATAAATGGTCTTAACTCCCCATCAAAAAGGAGTAAAATATTTCATAGACTACAAAAGCTAAAAATGGATATAATTTGTCTCCAGGAGACACACATTAAGTCACAACATTCTAGAATACTTCAACAATCAAAACTTTGCAAACTTAGGATATTTTTGCTGTAAATTAGGATATTATGTATCCTAATTTGCAACCTAAGTGTTGGAGATGTGGATGCTTGGATGCAACTTATTACCATATTTGGTGGACGTGTAAAAACATAAAAGCCTTTTGGATTAAGATTTGGTGGAACATTCAGAAGATTTTTAATAGAAAGATAAAGCTTTCACCAAAATTATTCTTGTTAGGTATTATTGTAGATTGTGATGTTAAAGAAACTATTTTAATGTTGAATCTTATTACGGCGGCAAGGTTATTGTTTGGACAATATTGGAAGAAATATTCTTTGCCTACTATATATGTAGGTCTTTGGTTATTCGGGTTTTCTCCCGCCCTCCTCCCCTACATCAAAGGCACCACAGATAAAATCAGCAAAATTCTCCACAAACACAATATCAAGACAGCCTTCGGCACCAACCAAAAAATAGCCAACATCTTAAGAAACCCCAAAGACATAATCCAGCTAGAAAACCAAGGAGTCTATGAAATACCATGCAAAATCTGCCCAGCCACATACATTGGACAAATTAATAGGAGAATAAATGCACGCATCACAGAACACAAGAATGCAGCCAGAAAAGAAGAAAAAACTTCCTCCCTCTTCCAGCACCTTAAAGCTACAGGACATGAAATTGATTTTGAAGGAACCAAACTAATCTCCAAAACTGAACACCACAACAAGAGAATAATTATGGAAGCCATCAAAATAAAAAAACACCCCCACAACATGAATAAAGGTGACGACACCTCCCACGTACCAGACATCTGGAATCTAGCCCTAATCAACAAACGAGAATGACACAATTTTGGTTATATTCCTTTTACTCTGAATGCATAAAAAAGGACAGACCATCAGGTCTATAGTATCTGTTAAACTCAGTGTTTCAGTATCTATGCTTGAGTCTTGCTCAAATATGGAGTTAGCACTGTATTATTGGTTAATGCCTATTTCCCTCCATTTTGTGAGCATAGAGAAATAAACAAACTGTAGGATCAGTTTGATCCCTATGTAAATTTGCTATCATGGCATTACCCAGACTCAATTATAATAATAGCTGGGGATTTTAACGCATGCATTGGCAAATCTGATGCTTCCCTACAAACATATTTTAAGTGGCCAGTGCCCCCTAAAATTGATGTAGGCCTCATAGCAGCCAGACAATCTAAAGATCAGAAATGTAATAGAAATGGGGTCGAACGACCATTTCACGGGGGTCGCCAAAAAGTTGAGGACTTTCCCTGCCCGGGAGCGTTGCGCATGCATGGTGTCGCCCCCTGCACTGGCCGAGGCATAGCTGGCAAGGGGCAGTAACGGCGCAGGGAGACCACCAAGGGAGATAAGGCACCCGCCGGGCCCCACGCATGGCAGCAACCCTCCCTGTACCTGCTGGCCTCCCACCTCCCACCCCTGGCCCTCTATTACTTACGTTTTTAGTAATTGCTCAGCAGGGAGGGGTGGAAACTTTCAGACAGCTCGTTTTCGCTGCAGACAACTTGCAGCACCGTTTGCAGAATGAGACTTTTGGTGGGCTCAGCGGGGCAGAGACAGCCTGGACAATTCCTATTGGCTTTTGAACGCCAATAGAATTAGACTCTATTCAAGAGAGTCTATTCTATTGGCTTTCAAAAGCCAATAGAATAAAAGGGAGTAGCACAGCTAAGGAAAAGGGGGAAAAATGGCGGACTCGTTGTTTGGCCACCCCCGTGAAATGGTCGTTTGACCCCAAATGGGGTCGCGACCCATAGGTTGAGAACTGCTGTTCTAAAGGAGCTTACTACATCCCGGCAGCTTGTAAGGTTTTCCAAGCTAAGGCATTCTCTCAGCTCCTCTATGGCTCGCAAATATGTTCATTTGCAAAGCTTAATGCTATTGAAATTATTCAACATAAGTTTATTAGAGCCATACTGATGGTACCTAAAAGTGTTAAAAATGCCATCCTACAGGTGGAAATAGGTTTAGTTTCATTGGAAGCTAGAGAATGGTTCTTTCTTCTTACCTTTTGGCTAAAGTTAATTTGATGGCTGTAGGGTTAGCCCCGTTAATATTTATAGGTCATTTTAAATCGTCATGGGAAAAAAGCACTAGATAAAATTAAATCGCTGGGCTTCTCTATGAAAAGTCTGTGTTCATTAGGATTTGATAATGCTAGAACTGCCTTGAATCAACGTATCTGGGATATTGATCTCCAAACAAACTTAAGTAAGGTGGCACATTCCAATATTTGTCACTTGCTTCCAGAAGGTTTCTCCCCAGCTTCTTATCTATTTTCCATTACAATTTTGAAATTTCGTAAACTTTCACCTTAGCCAGGGCTGGATGTGTTGCTCTCGGCAGTCCTTTTTGGACAGTTTAAGGGCATTCCTATGCACCATCGGTTGTGTCCATGTGGTGATGGCTCTATAGAAACCTTAAGCCATATGCTGCTTCATTGTTCTTTATATAAATAGATTCTTATATATCCAATATTAAAGAAGTTTCCAGGAAGGAGATATGAATTTTATCTAAAGTTGCTACTTTTGGATAAGGATCCGAAAATATCAATTCAGGTTGGCCAATTTTGTGCCACTATTTGCACAATACGTCGCACCATTATCAAGGTCTGAAAAAATTTAATATGATGTTTTATTTTTAGAATTTCAGATTATATTACATTGATTGTTTGATGGTTTTATATTCTATAAATATGGAAGTAAAATTGTCACTGTTGTTATATTTTGATTATGTCTGGCCTTATGGCTGTAATAAACAGATTGATTGATTGATTGGGTCCTCATTTTACCGACCTCGGAAGGATGGAAGGCTGAGTCAACCTTGAATCAAGGTATGTGCCACTGTGGCCAGATCAATTACAGGTAACAAAGTCTTTTGACCATCATTACTGTTCTGTTTCAATCGTAAAGGCATTGAGACGAGGCAGGAGTAACAACAGTCTTCTCTTTATTTAATCACCAACAGAACCAAAACAAAATGGCACAGATTCCTTTTATAACCCTTTTCAGGGACAGTGTCAACCAATCAATGCAACATATTTCTCCCACCTTGCGCATGCGCAATAGGCTGGAGACAGCCTGTATGGTCCCAGGCATTCACGTGGTCTGCCCGGGCGTCTCTGCAGCTTCCTACACCTGCTGAGTCACTCAGCAGGCCCAGGACATAACACTTACAATATGGGCTCATCCAAACATTGAATGTGACTACAGGTGACGTTATCCCGGGACATGTATATTCACCTTCATTCACAAAAAATATTGCCCCATGATGCACCATTTTGCCCAGTTAAAGGTCATGACAACATTGTACTTACTTATGATCATAATATTGAATTCAGGGCTGTGACAACTCAATGAAAGAAAAAGAAAAACAGGGTTCAGTAGCAAAAGTTAATTAATTACTCTTTCACAAGTTATTGTATAGTCAGCAAATAAGAGAGAGTGCTTAAAATGAGTTGTTTATTTAAGGATTTAGCCAAGGTTGTCCACAGTCCAAAGACAAAAATGTTGATAAGTAACTTTCCTATACAAATAGAGGTGAAAGAATAATTTGAGCTGAATGTAAACAAGAGGTTTGTAAAGGTTAGAGGAAGTGAAGAATTTAGATGTGATTGGGGATTCAATTGGTCTCCTTCTTTCAACGTTGTCTCCTTTAAACAGCTTTTTGGATTTTTGAAGAGGAAAACAACTGAGGAGAGGATGGAGCTGACATGGGCAGGAGTTCTGCTTCTTCTCTGTATACTTTTCACCCTTTTCTCATCTTTCCAAATGTACAAGAAAAAAGGGCAGCTGCCCCCTGGACCTACTCCATGGCCTATTCTGGGGAACCTCTTTCAGCAAGATGTACTACCTCTAAAAAAATCCTATAAAAAGGTAACTATTGTACTTCTTTGCTTTTTCAGGTGATTATTTTGAAAGTTATATGCACATTTCCTAGTTTAAGGAGTTTGATTTTCTTTTATAAGAGTCCAATTTTATTAGGGGCTCTTGTGCATCTTCAGTAGGAATTTTAATTTAAAGTCACCTAGTTACAGTCTGATAAATACACAATGGAGGTTACAAAGTTCATTAAAATATGTGGTTACAAGCAAAACTTGCTATCATATATTTTGTAGTACTAGATTACTTGCAAAAATGTATTATACAGTCAAAATTGTGATTATCTCATTCCCATCATCTCACCAGCTAGGAGATACAGTACATGCAATTTATCCAATCAAATTGATGAACCCTGTAGATACTAAGAATTATTAAAGGTTAGATTCAACATGATTTCTCTGTTATGAATTTAAGAAATATTTCAAGCATGCTTTAGAATAATTTCACCAAAAAATGCTTTATCGTTTAATTAACTCGGTTTTCATCTAATTTTACCTTTAGCTTATAGAGAAGTATGGACCTATATTTACTATCTGGATTGGATCAAAACCAATGGTTGCTCTTTGTGGATATGAGGTGGTAAAAGATGCTTTGATAAATCAAGCAGAAGAATTTGGTAGGCGAACTAATACGGCCTTTCACAGACGAGTGTTCCAAAATAAAGGTTGATTCGCTTTTATTTCTTTATTCGTTGTAGCTCTTTTTAATTTTCTATAAGTAATTTTAAATTATTTTAATGCTCTTAATATTATTGATAGTTATGAAAGTTTCACTTGAAATGAAGTTTTGTAAAGAGGTTGATCTGGTCATGTTTTTTGAAGAGGGAGGAACACCTTTTTTTCACCCTTTCGCTTCCACTGATCACTTCTGAAATCTGTTCTGGTTGTTCCTTACATTCAAAAAAAAAAAAAAAAGTAATCTCACCTTTAAACTGGTCCTTTGGGAAGGCAGACAAAATGTTCTTCAAAGAGGATACTTTGACAATTTGGACTTTGAATAAACAGGAGAGAAAGAATATTGAAAGAATATGGTTTTGATGTTGGACAAAATCTCTGAGAATATTGTGGACATCCAAAAATAAGAAACAAATAGCTCATTGAGCAAATCAGGTCAGAGTTTCCATTGAATGCATAAATGACCAGACTGAAATTATCATTCTTCAGACATACAGTATGGTTCAAAAGTCTTGCTCTCTAGAGGAGGCTATAATGGTGAGAAAAATAAAGGGAAAAGGAGGACCATTTGCAACGTCAATGAACTCAGTTAAAATGATGACAAATGTACCCTTACAAGTCCTGAAGAATTAGGTTAGGGATAGATTGTGTTGGAGGAAATCTAAAGGTAGCTAAGAGTTGAGAGTAACTTGTTAGCACACAATCAAGCAAGCTAGTACATACATAATTGGAAGTGATTTATTTTTGTCAATAAAGCCTCTACAGCAAATAATAATAATAAAATAAAATCCACAACTCAAAACGACTCCAATTTTCTTCTGCTTACTGAAAATGGCATCTCAGTATAGAGTTCCATGTCTAGTGTAGGGATTTCTTTCTATCTATAACACACTTATGACAGCAGTCAAGAATGGAAAGATGGCAACTGTGACGTTTGCTTCATTGGTATTTCAAACATCAAGCCTTGTTTACTTTAAATGTGAGGAAGGACATTTCTCTGATGCATAATTTATTGCAGTGTAGTAGCCTCTTTCAGCTATGATTGAAACAAAGATTTGAAAAAGAAAAGTGCCTGAAATATTATATCGAAACATGCTCGTCCACAAAAGCTGAGAATTGACCAACATCATGATCCTTTTGGTGTCTTTTGTTTCAGGAATATCTACAAATGATGAGAAGAAATGGAGGGAGCTGCGACGGTTCACACTGTCCACCTTGCGAGATTTTGGGATGGGGAAGAAAAGAATGTCTGAGAGGGTGCAGGAGGAAGCTCTTTGTCTGGTGGAGGAAATGGCTGCCACAAAAGGTCATCTAAAGAAACTGAGACCTGTTCTCCCACAGAAGAATCATATCAGGAAGACTATTATCTTTTAAAATATGAAACTGGAAAGGGTTTGTTGTTTTATGTGAAGTTACAGGAAAACTAGATTCTAAACTGAAACTCAAATCATCTGTGCTTAAGTGCACAAAATAAAGAAAAACTTAGATAGGTATATATATGCGTGTAAAATAAATGAGGTAAGGAAAATATGGATAAGAATCAACTGCATGAGTGATGGAGATCTGTGAGGTGGCGTGGATTTGAATTAAGGCTATTGTAGGAAATGACCAGGCTGATCCCAAGGGAGGGATCAAACAAATCATCAGTCATGAGTCCCTTCATGCCCACAAGAGATCTACATCCAGCCTATCTTGAATCCTTCTACTCTTATCTCCCGCTAATTTCCTTTGGCCATTATTAGTTCAGATTCTTGTAGAGAGCTTAAGCTTACAATAAATCTTTATACCCATTTCAACTGCCTGGATCGCCTGATTTGCCTGGTGCTTGACAGATATAAATTTATCTTTTTTCCAGGAGATGTAGCATCTTGGAAAATCATGTTCCATGGACAAGTCTTTTCTGGAAGGAGATTTAAAAAAAATAAATAGAAAAAAATGTGAATGGAATATTATTATTATTTTTTTTAAAAAAAGAAGAGCTGGATAGATTAGAAGGAGACAGTGCTGAGGGAATAGAGTGCTCAGTTAAAACTGGGAAAAGAAGCCAAAAAAAACTGTTTAAACAATTTATTTGAACATGATTATATATCAGGCAAATTCAAGAGCCAGAAAAAGAAGTTATGGATGAATGACATAGGTAATCTAAAACTAGAAAGGAAAACATATTATCATAAATAGTATTCATCTAAAGATTTGTGCCTCTTTTGAATATAATCATGAATGCACAAATCTCTGGAATCAGAAGGGGAAAGAAATGAAATAATAGGATTATATTTTAAAAAAGAAAGAAGAAAGAAATTAGAAGGTGGAGGGAGAGACAGTCAGGAGAGTGAAAACTGGAAATAGAAACTTCTAAGGGAAGGAACAGGGAGGGAAAAACCCACCATGAGCAGAAAAGGGCAGAGAAAGTGAGAAAACAATTCTTGACAGAAGACAGCAAGAAGGTTTTCAAAAAAACCTCTAGAGGTTATAAGGTTTATGTTTTCATTTAATTACATCTAGGTTCTTCTATTTAATATTATTTATTTAAAAATACCAATAAAATTTTTGAATAACTTCTTTGACCCAAACCACTTTTTTTGTTGAAGTTCTGTGGTGAGAATTGTGGAAAGGAAGATCCCCATTCTTTGATCCCTCCCATTAATGTCTGTGGCCTTTGTTGCAGGGCAGCCTTTTGACCCAAGAAGAAATTTGGCAAGTGCTGTTTCTAATGTGATCTGTACAGTCGTCTTTGGCAATCGATTTGATTACAATGATCAAACCTTCATAGAGAACCAGCAGATTGTGGAGTTTCAAACAAGATTTCTGACTGGTTTCCTAGGACTGGTATGTTTTTCCTCTCTGATGCTCTTCCTGCTATAAACACTCATTTTTACTAGTGGGTCTCTCTTTGTGTTCGAATATCCAAATAAGGGATGTGGAGATTGCTGTAGATGTAGAGATTACTGTAGATAAGCAGGAGAAGTCAAATCCAGACATCCAACAAGACTGAGCCATCAAAATATAAATTGGTTCTCAGCAAACCTTCTTTCCTGGCTGGGCTTATTTCCCACGGGATCATTTCATTCTCTCGTAACTGCTGTGGGCCCTGACCTGCTTATTTCTCGGACTTGCCCATTTCTTAATTAGTCAGGGAGAGCCAAACATGGAATTTCACTGGAGAGGCTGATTCCTCCTAATTGTAATGTTTCACTTAATTTTTTCATCCCTTGACTGAAAAGTTAACTTTAATTCTCAAACTTATTTCCATGTTGTTCTAAGAAATGACAATAGCACTATCCCCCGAGCTATTAGGTTTGTGATATAAGAGGAATATCAATATTGTGATCAAACTGAAAGGTATATTATTATAATAATTTTTAAAAGTACAATGCTACATATTTAACTATATATAATTTGATAATCATCATATCAAATTATGCACAGGCACCTTTCTTCTTCTCATGGCATTTTTAGACATTTCCCCTATTCTTATGTCCCTCTTTCCTCCCTGCTTCAAGAACTGTCATCATTTTCATCATTATCCCTTCATGGGATAGCTGGGGTGAGGCTTGACAGAATATATCCTGCAGGGAACTCAGGCTAGGTGAGGACAGATCTGGGGAAAAGGCTTGTCAAAGAGATTCCTTTTTAACCAACTTATTATAAATAAAAATTCCTACCATGCAGTATTTCCTAAGACACTATATTTTCTCAACACTAAAATTAAAGATAGCTTACTGAGATTCTTGCCAAACCTGTCTTCTTTGTCTTGGCACCTAGCTGAGGTTTGATAATTAACAATATCAGACTAAAAGCTAATCTCTGAATATTTGGGGCATTAAGCCTTCACCATTATGGTCTAAAAACATATACTGTTTAACGTCAACTCTGCAACAGGTGTACAATACTTTTCCAAAAACAATGGAATACTTTTTGGGACGACATATCGAGTCTGAGACAGAAAAAGTCTATGATTATATCCGTGAGAAAGTGGAATTGCACAAGAAGACACTGGATCCCCAGAACCCGTGTGACTATATTGATTGCTTCCTTCATAGAATGGAGAAGGTAGGCATAGATACCATCTCTGCATAACTGTCTAAATATCTCCAATATGTATCTAAGATGAAAGAATATGAAAATATTTATCCCCCTTTTTATTACTTTAATTTGCCATTTATTAACATGTACTCTTATGCCTGACATAATTAAAAATGAGTAAGTATAGACATTTGCTTTACATGCTAATTTACACCTCTTCTACACTCTTAATAGGTGATATAAAGATAATAATTCATCTTGCAGGAGCAATTTCTATTAGAATTAGTCTCTCAGATATAACATTCAAGCTTCTGTGCTCAGATCTAATCCAGTTTTCCCACCATACAGCTTAAGAGTTGCTTTTGTCCAGCTCTAAATAACAACCTATAATTCTCGTAATTTCTTGTGGTAAATATTTGATAGATAGGTCAGACAGGCAAATTGTTTCCTCTCTGCATCAAATGGTGATTGCATAAATGCTTTACAATTGAAAAATTCTCCTCTATATTCTAAAGTTAGTCAGTTAAGTTTCCTTTAACTGAAAGAAACACTATGAAGAGTTTCATAAATTACTTTAATCAACCCCATTTTCATCCTTCTGTTTCCCTTTCTATTTTCTTTTCAGGAGCAGAACTCATCTGAGGGAATCTACACTCTTGATGATCTTGTGATTACTGTGCTTACTCTCTTTACTGCTGGGACAATAACCACAAGCCGAACTTTGCTACGCAGCCTCCTAACAATGGCTAAATTGCCACATATTCAAGGTACAGAAATAACCACTAATATATAAAGGTGTCAACTCTTTAGGGCAGGGCTCTTCAAACATGGCCCCTTTGTGACTTGTGGACTTCAACTCCCAGAATTCCTCAGCCAAGCACTCTAGCTGAGGAATTCTGGGAGCTGAAGTCCACAAATCATAAAAGGGCCAGGTTTGAAGACTCCTGCTTTAGGGCTTCCACTAATAATCCTGGAAAAAATAAAGTAAGGATGCTGTTGAGTAAAGTAAACTCATTGCAGCTGCATTTCTGCAGTTTTCCTGGCAGGTTTTGGGAAGTGTTTGCCAAGATCTTCTTACAGAATGTTTTGCTGTGTTTTGTTTATTTCCCAGTTTAACTAACATGCCCTTGGAACAACTGGGCTTCCATGAAATCTTGAGATTACACAAAGACAGTTCTAGTAAAATAATATCCACTAGATCAAGGGTCCCCAATCCTGTCTCCTTGGACCAGAATTGTTGGGAATCAGGCCATGCAAGCAGGAGACGAGTGCTTGAGGCTTCATTTGAGCATGCATGGGAGTTAAGTTGCACATGCAAATCCAAACTCTCCCTCCTGCCGCCACTACTGCTGTCGGTCCATGGAGCCAGAGAGGTTGGGGACCACTGCATTAGATCATGAAGAGGCAAGATGTGATTGAACGCTTTAACAACAGCAGTCTTTTCCTTCATACAGCCTTAAGGCAGATCAATTAATTAATTGAGTACTTGCTTTAAGGAGTCCTAGTATGAATGATTAATTTAATATGGTATAGCTTTTCTTAAGAATCATTTTTGTATCAGTATAAACCCACATCCTTTTAACTCACGATATCATCCTTAACATTTGAACCGTACTGCTATAAGCAGTGACAATATTATAAATCTTAATCTACAATACCCCCGCAAAATTGATTGGCAGCTGTATCCTGAAGCATTCTTTCTTTGGAAATGAACCTTGAGGTTTTTGAGGGAATAAATTGTTTGTACTCTGCTGGCACATAATATTCATTCTCATCATCATTTTTACCATTCTCTATCCATTGCGTGATGAAGTTCAAGTTCAAGTTTATTACAGTCAAAGACCCATACAGTCCTGCCAATTGGGCCCACAAAACTTGCTGATGTTGTCGATCCATCTTGTTTTAGGTCTGTTTCGTGGACACTTTTTATCGAGTGGGATTCATTCTATGACTGCCTTGGTCCTCCTGCCATCAGTTCTTCTTGCTATGTGACTGGCCTATTTCCATTTCAGTTCTTTTACTCTTCTTGATGATATCATATACTTTCGTTTGTACTCTAATCCACTTGCAGGTCTTTCTATCTTGTCTTGTAATGCCGAGCATGTATCTTTCTATGGCTCTTTGTGCCACTTGTGGCTTTTGTATCAATTGTGAGGTTAGTGTTCATGGTTCACTGGCATATGTTAGAGCAGGTAGTATACACTGATCAAAAACTTTTCTCTTCAGGCATAGGAGGAAGTTGTTCTTAAAAATGATACTTAGCTTGCTGAGTGCCTACCAACCACATTTAACATGTCGATCAATTCCCTTTATTGAATCACCTTCCATTGACATCCATTGGCCAAGGTATATGCAGTGGTCTACTATATCTAATTCTTCTTCACATATATTTCTTTTCTTTCTTTGGTGAATTTATTAAACATAACCTGGCTCTTTTTCAGGTTTATTTTTAAGCCAAATGGTTCTCCTGCTTTGTGCAGCTCTCATATGTCTATTTGTAGCTCTTCTGGATCTTGGGAGAAGAGAACAATATCATTTGCAAATCTTAAGTGATTTAAATAAGCGCCAGTGATTTTTATTCCATTTTTTGCCCAGGCTAGTTTGCAAAATACTTCTTAAAGGCAGACTGAGAAAAGAATAGGGATATTGTATTGTCTTGTCGTACACCTTGTTCTATGTTGATTTCCACTTTAAGATCATTAAGGCAAATTGCCGCCATTGTTTTTCATATATTGATTGTAGTATGTTTATGTAAGAAGTATCTATGCCTTGGTTGAGCAATGCCCTAATTATTGCTTGCTGGAATTCTGAGATGTAGTCAATGAAATTGTAGTCAATGAAAGCCATGCACAGAGGCATGGTGTATTTGTTGTACCTTTCAATGCCTTGATGAACAACCTGGATGTGATCTATTGTGCTGTAACCACTTCTGAACCCTGCATGCTCCTTTGGCTGTGCATCATTTAATGTTCTCAATATTCTTTTTGCTATTATCTTGGTGAAAACCTTGTCAATGTGTGAAAGGAGGCTTATTGGGCAATAGTTCTTTAAATCATGTTGGGCCCTTTTCCTGTGTATAAGAATCACTTCAGCATTTTTCCATTCATCGGTTATTTTTTCTTTTCTGAGGCAACTCAAGACCAGATGGATTACACCCCAGAGTTCTCAAGGAACTGGCAGATGTGATATCGGAACCACTGAACTATATTTTTCAAGGATCCTGCAACACAGGGGAACTACCAGAGGACTGGAAAAGAGCTGATGTAGTTCCCATCCTCAAAAAAGGAAAAAAAATGAATCCAGGAAATTACAGACCTATCAGCCTGGCCTCAATACCTGGAAAGATCCTGGAAAAGATAATCAAACAACGAATCAACGAACACCTAGAGGCAAACAAAGTGATTACTAAAAGCCAACATGGGTTTGTCAAAAATAGATCATGACAGACAAATCCTATTGCATTCTTTGACCAAGTGACAAAATTAGTGGATCAGAGGAATGCTGTGGACATAATTTACTTGGACTTCAGTAAGGCCTTTGATAAAGTAGATCACAACCTACTACTTGATAAGATAGAAAAATGTGGGGTAGACAGAATCACCACCAGATGGATCCGTAGCTGGCTGACCGGCAGTACTCAGCAAGTGGTCCTCAATGGAACTGCATCTATCTGGAGGGAAGTGTGTAGTGAGGTGCCCCAGGGCTCTGCTCTGGGCCCAGTGCTCTTCAACATCTTCATCAATGATTTGGATGAAGGGATACATGGGGAACTCATCACACCAAGCTGGCAGGAATAGCCAACATTCCAGAAGACAGGCTTAAGATACAGAAGGATCTGGACAGACTTGAACACTGGACACTAACTAACAAAATGAAATTCAATGGTGAAAAAAGCAAGGTTCTACATTTAGGAAAGAAAAACCAAATGCACAAGTACAGCATAGGTGGCACCATGCTCAATAGTAGTAACTGTGAGAAGGACCTCGGAGTCCTAGTAGACAATCACCTAAATATGTGCTGCAGCTGCCAAAAAGGCCAACACAGTGCTAGGCTGCATTAACAGAGGGATAGAATCAAGATCACGTGAAGTATTACTACCACTCTTCAATGCCTTGGTAAGGCCTCACTTGGAATACTGCATCCAGTTTTGGTCACCACGATGTAAAAAAGATGTTGAGATTCTAGAAAGAGTACAGAGAAGAGCAACAAAGATGATTAGGGGACCTATATTGATCTCCAATATAATAATAATAAATTCTTGTATTATCTAATCTACTTCTGGATATACAGTTTAACATTGGTAAGACATTGTAGATGTTTCTAGACTCCCGACTAATTAAAAAAAACCTATCTGTTGTTTTTCCATACAGGTACTTAATGGTTTTAATCAATTGAGCTACTCATTAGATAAGATTTCCTTATTTAGATGCATATATTACAAAGTATATGAATGTTGTGAAACTAATTATGATTCTCTTTGGAAAGACTTATACCAAATATGATGGGGCAAGACTGCAGCAATTACTGCAGGAATATCTCCTTTACTAAAAATTGCTATTTTTGTTTCAAACTCTTTTATTTACTTTGTAAAGGTGAAAAAGTTCAGTGATAGAAAACCGGGGTTTTCTGTTTTTGTTCAAAATTGCCTGGAATAAATAAATTTGATATATTAACTTTAGGAATGTTTTGCAGTTTTTAAATCAGACATATAATTTTGAGAGAGAAATATCAGAACCATGAAAATTTGTAGGGAAATATCTGCTCCTAGTAGCTTTCCCTCCCTCAACAGCTATGCAGACACCATTTTTAAAATATCATCTTTAAAATATAGCTAACATTTTATATATTAAAAACATTTTTCTATATAATATGATGTTATAAAATTATATAATAGTGAAAACAGCAATCAATCCTGCCTTACTTTATGTCAGATTATGGAAGCTCTAAATATAATAAAATATAATATGAATATAAGTAATATTAGAGAGCCAATCTAGTATAGTCGTTAAGATACTAGCTTAAAAACTGGAAGTCCATGGGTTTTAGTACCGCCTCCTTAGACACAAAGCCAACTGGGAGTCATTTTCTCCCAATCCTAAGGAGGCAAGGACAAGCCGCTTCCAAAAACCTTGCCATGAAATCTGCAGAAAGTACTCCATGCAGTCATCAAAAGTAAAAAAGAAAAGCAGAGTCTAGGGAATATAATAATAATAATATGAATGCATATTGTTTTATATGATGGAGCAATGCACTAATCTGAATTCTTAATTGTTAATTGCAATTATATTTATAATTTATAATATATTTAAATATATTATATATTTAAAAAATCATTATAATAAAAAAACCTGAAAAAATCTTTTAATCTGAGGAGGCATGTGAATGTTGGGGATGGGGATGATGATGCTTTTTCTTAATCAATTAAGAAACCTAAATTAATGTCCTTAATCTAGGAAAGAAAAATTATGGCCTTGTTTCAGCAGGAACAGTAGCCATTTAATCCCAGTGATAACTGTCAGTTGGGAAGCACAGGCTGAAACTATGATGCACAGACTGAAACTCCTTCTGGCCTAGGAGACAAAAGTTGGGTGATCTGTTGACTTTGGTGAAGAACACATTATAAATACGAGAAAACTTCCCAACTAAAAATTAAGAAACTGCATAATTTCAATTTCCCTCCTATTGTGCTCCAATTGATAATTGCAATCAATTTTATATTTTATAAAGATTTTAAAATTGTTTCTTTTTTAACTTGATAGTGAAATAAAAAAGAAAAAGAAAAGAAAAGCAATATACAAAAAAAAAAGAAGAAAAAGAAGATGAAGCGTTTAAATATTCCCTCTCTTTCCCACCTCCTTTGTTTCCTTCTTCTCCAGATGTAAATAAGTTAGGACTTCTTTAAATTCTAATTATTAATTTAAAAATTGAAAATTTGTTATAAAGTTGACAACTATTATGGATCCTGTCTGGCCCCAAACATAAAATAAAATAATTAAACATTTTTTGAAGGGAGCAAAGGCTCTGGAGTAGTACCTGCCATGACTTTCGCTGAAGATGATTGGCTACAACTGCAGGACAGATCTACCTGCCTGGTGTCATGGGCAGCAGAACCTGCCCTCAGGCTGTTCTGCTAAACTCTGGTACTCTATTGTGGTGGCACCTCGCAACTCATACTGCTTCAATTCAGTCAAAGTGGCCAACTTGGGGAGGAGCTTTTGTCAAGACAGAATTTTATGGAACCTAAATCTTTTATTATTATTATTATTATTATTGTTGTTGTTGTTCTTCTTCTTCTTCTTCTTCTTCTTCTTCTTCTTCTTCTTCTTCTTCTTCTTCTTCTTCTTCTTCTTCTTCTTCTTCTTCTTCTTCCTATTATTATTGTTATTATTATTATCATTATCATTATTATTATTATTGGGGTAATTTAATGTTGTGTTTGACTTTTGTTTTCTTATGCATATATTTGATAAGTAGTGTATATGAATGCAGTCACACCATAGAAGGGGCATAGCAATTGTGCATTCCAAGCTGCAACTAAGGTCTCAGCCAGATGGCCCACCAATTCCTAAATGAAAAACCCAACCTCCTCTGAACCAACAAGATCCATCAGGAATCTTGGGTTGGTTGATCTAACAGCCTTGCCTCCCCATGAAGTCAGGTGACACCAGCAAACCAGAAAGCATCCAGAGAATGATTTCATCATGGCAATGAACTAATAATGATGTTCTCCAAAACTAGGTATGTTGCTACTGCCACAAAACAAAAACTAATGTGTGGTCCCTGATATGCATTGGGTGTAGTGATTTGGGACAAGTCCATGGTTGCCATAAACTCCTGGACTACCTTATACTCAAGACTACTAGAAGTGAAGTTGAAATCTCCAAGAACCAACAGCCTCAGGTCTCTATTGTCATCACAACAACATATTCAGTTGCTCAAGCAGGTATGATGCTGGTCAACAGATAATACACAAACAGCAATCACAATTGTTCCTTACAGCCCAAATTTAAACAAGAGCCTCACATCCAGTTTGCACCACAGGTCTCCAAACCCTCAACAATTTGCAGATGATAATGGCCAGCGTTTTTTCCCCTCCCCTAAAGATTGAGCTAAATTCCAAGATGACGGCCCACTCTAGAGCCATTCAGAACATAGTAAGGCCAGACAGGTCTGTTGCCATACCCACAATCAAATTTTGGATGAAGAAAGATATATTGCAGACTTACTTGGCAATCAGCAGCAATAGCTGGAGTCCAGGGTCTCACAGGCATTATTTATTTATTGATATAAGTCACCCAATCTAATTTATAGGCCTTAAAAGGAGCAATTTATAGGATACAATATGTGCCAGGAAGGAAGCGGAGGGGGAAGATGAAAATGGAGGGGAGGGGAAAAGAAAGAAAAAAAAATAAAAGAAGAGAAAGAGAGAGAGAGAGAGAGAGAGAGAAAAGAAAGAAAAGAAAGAAAGAAAGAAAGAAAGAAAGAAAGAAAGAAAGAAAGAAAGAAAGAAAGAAAAGAAAAGAAAAGAAAGAAAGGAGTTGTCACTTATCATGATCTTGACTCCTTTCCTTGTCTTAATTATTGAACACAAGTGTCCACTGAACGATTAACAGCTCGTATAAGGAGGGATTGATTCTTATTTTGGAAGATCATAAAGAGAGACATTATATCCATGTCTTTGGTGTCCCCATCCAGAGAGAAGGTGAAGTTCTGCAGCAAAGTGCTGAAGAACAGGAAGAGCTCCATCTTAGCCATAGCCTCTCCTGGACAGGCCATCTTCCCTGAAATTGCAAACAAGAAAACAAAGCTTATTCAAAGCTGATTAAAGAATAACATGGATCAGGCAAGCATATGAATTGGTAATACTATCTGTCCCAGAGGACTATACCTGCTGAGAATGGCATGAAAGCATCTCTTTTCCTGAACTGGCCCTTTTCATTCAAAAAATGATCTGGGTTGAACTTCTCTGGAGTCTCCCAATGGAGAAGATCACGGTGTACTGAGGAGAGGACTGGCACAACAGCCATGTACTAGAAGAAGGAGGTAAAGAAACAGATGACATTAATTGGTGCTACCTCGTCCAGAGAATAAAGAGCCTCACTTGTGTCAAATAAAACAGGCCAACAGGGAGCAATCTGCAAACATTCTGAAATGGAATGAAGGGAGAGAGATTTGGTTTTATTAATTAATTTATTAAATTTGTATACTTCCCATATCCAAAATGACTCTAGGCAATTCACAATGCCATAAATAATACATATTAATTCATACTTATTCAAACTGCCTTGAATATGAAGGATCTTTGACTATATAACAGTGAGTGCTTTTTTGTAAAAAACAAAAAGGTGGTGGAACTCACACAGGTCATACAACCTGCCTTGCCTACCCTACAAGGTTTACCTTTGTAGTTGAAAAAAACCCTTCAGTTTTTAGTGTATCTAAAAGACTAGGATTTTGTTCAAGTTAAGTTAATAATATTAATGTTACCATGCACAAATCCGTTGAAAAAGGGTGCTGGAAATCCATTCTAGTGTGTTCTATGACCAAAAAAGCCCTGATAACAATCATCTATTTTTTTTCCTCTGCAGAATATCTTTATCAGTAATTATTATTGCCACACTTTGGGAATGTTGTAACCATGGAACTTTACATCACAAGTTGTTGCCTGTGGAAAGTTTTCAAGGCTCTCAGGCCCATAACGTTGAACCTCATGGACCACAGCATTTGTGAAAGGCATCTTCAACCGGTCTTCCATGCTTGGAGTGCGATTTGTACCCACTACCTCATCAATCTCTTGTTGCACCTTAGCTGTGAGAACAATATATTTAGATGAAATTAACAATCTTTTACTGTATTGTACTGAGCACCCTCAGTCAGCTACCACTTGAATAGAAACATGGTTTTCCAAAGCACGTTCAGAGAAAAATGGCTCTTCCTCAAAGTCATTTCTCAGTGGAGACCATTTCAATTTTTCTAGAGCAAGAAGACTATGTTACGGTTGAAATTATGAAAGCTGGTGATCACAGTTTACACAAGATACTAGCAAAGCTGTACTTGAGTTAGTAATAGTAATAGTAGTAAAGTTGGAAGGGACCTTGGAGGTCATCTAGTCCAACCCCCTGCTCAGGCAGGAAACCCTACACCATTTCGGACAAATGGCTGTCCAGTCTCTTCTTAAAAACTTCCAGTGTTGGAGCATTTAATGCTTCTGGAGGCAGGCTGTTCCACTGATTAATTGTTCTCACTGTCAGGAAGTTTCTCCTTAGTTCTAGGTTGCTTCTCTCCTTGATTAGTTTCCACCCGTTTCTTCTTGTCCTGCCTTCAGGTGCTTTGGAAAATAGCTTAATTCCCTCTTCTTTATGGCAGCCCCTGAGATATTGGAATACTGCTATCATGTCCCCCCTTGTCCTTCTCTTCGTTAAACTAGACATACTCAATTCTAGCAACCGTTCCTTATATGTTTTAGCCTCCAGTCTCCTAATTGTCTTTGTTGCTCTTCTCTGTACTCTTTCTAGAGTCTCAACACCTTTTTAACATCGTGGTGACCAAAACTGGATGCAGTATTCCAAGTGTGGCCTTACCAAGGCATTAAAGAGTGGTATTAATACTTCACATGATCTTGATTCTATCCCTCTGTTAATGCAGCCTAGCACTGTGTTGGCCTTTTTGGCAGCTGCAGCACATATTTAGGTGATTGTCTACTAGGACTCTGAGGTCCCACTCACAGTTACTACTATTGAGCATGGTGCCACCTATGCTGTACTTGTGCATTTGGTTTTTCTTGCCTAAATGTAGAACCTTGCTTTTTTCACCATTGAATTTCATTTTGTTAGTTAGTGCCCAGTGTTCAAGTCTGTCCAGATCCTTCTTTATATTAAGCCTGTCTTCTGGAGTGTTGGCTATTCCTGCCACCTTGGTGTGATGAGTTCCCCATCTATCCCTTCATCCAAATCATTGATGAAGATGTTGAAGAGCACTGGGCCCAGAGCAGAGCCCTGGGGCATCCCACTACACACTTCCCTCCATATAGAGGCAGTTCCATTGAGGACCACTCGCTGAATACGGCCGGTCAGCCAGCTACGGATCCATCTGGTGGTGATTCTGTCTACCCCACATTTTTCTATCTTATCAAGTAGTAGGTTGTGATCTACTTTATCAAATGCCTTACTGAAGTCCAAGTAAATTATGTCCACAACTATTCTCGATCACTAATTTTGGTTCACTTGGTCAAAGAATGCAATAGGATTTGTCTGGCATGATCTAGTTTTGACAAACCCATGTTGGCTTTCAGTAATGGACTTTTTTTTGTTTGCCTCTAGGTGTTTTCGTTGATTCGTTGTTGATTATCTTTTCCAGGATCTTCCAGGTATTGAGGTCAGGCTGATAGGTCTGTAATGTCCTGGGTCCATTTTTTTTCCTTTTTTGAAGATGGGAACTACATCAGCTCTTTTCCAGTCCTCTGGTAGTTCCCCTGTGTTCCAGGATCTTTGAAAAATATAGTTCAGTGGTTCCGATATCACATCTGCCAGGTCCTTGAGAACTCTGGGCTGCAATTCATCTGGCCTTGAGTTGCCTCAGAAAAGAAAAAATAACCGATGAATGGAAAAATGCTGAAGTGCTTCTTATACACAGGAAAAGGGCCAATATGATTTAAAGAACTATTGCCCAATAAGCCTCCTTTCACACATTGACAAGGTTTTCACCAAGATAATAGCAAAAAGAATATTAAGAACATTAAATGATGCACAGCCAAAGGAGCATGCAGGGTTCAGAAGTGGTTACAGCACAATAGATCACATCCAGGTTGTTCATCAAGTCATTGAAAGGTACAACAAATACACCATGCCTCTTTGCATGGCTTTCATTGACTACAATTTCATTGACTACAACTCAGAATTCCAGCAAGCAATAATTAGGGCATTGCTCAACCAAGGCAACAATAAATATACTACAATCAATATATGAAAAACAATGGTAACAATTTGCCTTAATGATCTTAAAGTGGAAATCAACATAGAACAAGGTGTACGACAAGACAATACAATATCCCTATTCTTTTCTCAGTCTGCCTTTAAGAAGTATTTTGCAAACTAGACTGGGCAAAAAATGAAATAAAAATCACTGGTGCTTACTTAAATCACTTAAGATTTGCAAATGATATTGTTCTCTTCTCCCAAGATCCAGAAGAGCTACAAATAGACATATGAGAGCTGCACAAAGCAGGAGAACCATTTGGCTTAAAAATAAACCTGAAAAAGAGCCAGGTTATGTTTAATAAATTCATCAAAGAAAGAAAAGAAGTATATGTGAAGAAGAATTAGATATAGTAGACCACTGCATATACCTTGGCCAATGGATGTCAATGGAAGGTGATACAATAAAGGAAATTGATCGACATGTTAAATGTGGTTGGTAGGCATTCAGCAAGCTAAGTATAATTTTTAAGAACAACTTCCCCCTATGCCTGAAGAGAAAAGTTTTTGATCAGTGTATACTATCTGCTCTAACATATGCCAGTGAACCATGAACACTAACCTCACAATTGATACAAAAGCCACAAGTGGCATAAAGAGCCATAGAAAGATACATGCTCGGCATTACAAGACAAGATAGAAAGACCTGCATGTGGATTAGAGTACAAACGAAAGTATATGATATCATCAAGAAGAGTAAAAGAACTGAAATGGAAATAGGCCAGTCACATAGCAAGAAGAACTGATGGCAGGAGGACCAAGGCAGTCATAGAATGAATCCCACTCGATAAAAAGTGTCCACGAAAGAGACCTAAAACAAGATGGATCGACAGCATCAGCAAGTTTTGTGGGCCCAATTGGCAGGACTGTATGGGTCCTTGACTGTAATAAACTTGAACTTGAACTTCATCACGCAATGGATAGAGAATGGTAAAAATGATGATGAGAATGAATATTATGTGCCAGCAGAGTACAAACAATTTATTCCCTCAAAAACCTCAAGGTTCATTTCCAAAGAAAGAATGCTTCAGGATACAGCTGCCAATCAATTTTGCGGGGGTTTTATAGATTAAGATTTATAATATTGTCACTGCTTATAGCAGTATGGTTCAAATGTTAAGGATGATATCTTGAGTTAAAAGGATGTGGGTTTATACTGATACAAAAATGATTCTTAAGAAAAGCTATACCATATTAAATTAATCATTCATACTAGGACTCCTTAAAGCAAGTACTCAATTAATTAATTGATCTGCCTTAAGGCTGTATGAAGGAAAAGACTGCTGTTGTTAAAGCGTTCAATCACATCTTGCCTCTTCATGATCTAATGCAGTGGTCCCCAACCTCTCTGGCTCCATGGTCCGACAGCAGTAGTGGCGGCAGGAGGGAGGGTTTGGTTTTGCATGTGCAACTTAACTCCCATGCATGCTCAAATGAAGCCTCAAGCACTCGCCTCCTGCTTGCATGGCCTGATTCCCAACAATTCTGGTCCAAGGACTCAGGATTGGGGACCCTTGATCGAGTGGATATTATTTTACTAGAACTGTCTTTGTGTAATCTCAAGATTTCATGGAAGCCTAGTTGTTCCAAGGGCATGTTAGTTAAACTGGAAATAAACAAAACACAGCAAAACATTCTGTAAGAAGATCTTGGCAAACACTTCCCAAAACCTGCCAGGAAAACTGCAGAAATGCAGCTGCAATGAGTTTACTTTATTCAACAGCATCCTTACTTTATTTTTTCCAGGATTATTAGTGGAAGCCCTAAAGCAGGAGTCTTCAAACCTGGCCCTTTTATGATATGTGGACTTCAGCTCCCAGAATTGTTCAGCTAGAGTGCCTGGCTGAGGAATTCTGGGAGTTGAAGTCCACAAGTCACAAAAGGGCCATGTTTGAAGAGCCCTGCCCTAAAGAGTTGACACCTTTATATATTTGTGGTTATTTCTGTACCTTGAATATGTGGCAATTTAGCCATTGTTAGGAGGCTGCGTAGCAAAGTTTGGCTTGTGGTTATTGTCCCAGCAGTAAAGAGAGTAAGCACAGTAATCACAAGATCATCAAGAGTGTAGATTCCCTCAGATGAGTTCTGCTCCTGAAAAGAAAATAGAAAGGGAAACAGAAGGATGAAAATGGGGTTGATTTAAAGTAATTTATGAAACTCTTTGTTGAGTCCGTGGCGGGAAAACAGACACGAGAAGCAGCTGGAGTTCTCAGTTTCATTTATTCAGCGTTCAGCTTACAGGAAGATGGCTTCAGCCTCGCCCAAACGCCTCGCAGCCTCTTATATAGGCAACTACCGGGTAAATGGGTTACTTTTCCCGCGCCAGCACCCGCGCATGCGCACGGCGCTGGCGACAGCCTGTCTGGTCCCGGGCAGCTTTGCACCTGCCCGGGACTGCCTGCAAACGCCCGAGCCGTTTGCCAAGGCTCGGGACATAACACCCCTTTCCCCCGGGCTAAAACTACTACCACCATACAACATTTATTTTATATGACATTTTGCTCCCCAGTGCTCCCACTGATTACTGGCTTTTGCCTTGCCAGCAATGTTATGTAATCTTCTAGATACTTAGGAGATTTCTTTGCTCTCTGTGACCTTCTTAGCTCTGGGTTACTGGCATAAGTTCCCTGACTGGAGGGAGGCATGAGCCTGTTCTCTCTACTGTGCCCTGGTGTCTTCCAAGGACTGTGCCCGATGCCTGGCCTGCTTGCTTGCCCACCGGGCTCGTCAGGCCAGGGCTTCTGTTGCTTTGTGACCTGGTTGTCCTACCTAGCTGTAGACCCTCAGGCCCCTTGAAGTGATAGCCACTGCTGGGTGTCTCTGTAGAACCTCCTAGGTCAGTCCAAGACCTGTCAGGAGGCTGTCCCATCCCTGAACCCCATTCTGTGCTCGGGCTCGTGGGGGTTTCTGTACTTTCCCAAAACTCAGGTGTTCCATGAGTGTGCTAGGGTTGTTGTAGTCGGGAATTGGTTCCTCGATAGCTCGTGTATGTTGAACCCCTGAGGATTTGGGGTAAGGTCCAGGCCAACCTTGGGAATTGTGTGCCAGCTCTCTTGCGGGGAATGATTTGTTGGGATGCCCCCGGGTATCCTACGTTGCTGGAGTGCTGTGTGATGTGTGTGGAAAGTGAGTATGCCCCCGGGGTGACTCCCTGGCTGGAGTAGGCGTGAGTGCCTGTTGTGTGGGTAAGCTCCATGACTTTCTTTTCGGAGCACTTGCAGAACCTTGGGACGAGCCGTTTGTGGCTCCCTCAGTGGAGATGGGCCGTAGCTCTTGCCCTTCCCTTTGCTCCAAAGGGTCCCCCTCCCCCCCTGGAAAAGACCCAGGAGTCTCAGCAGAAAAGTCTCGCCTAGAGCGAAGTTGGTCGATGTGCCGACGCAGGACACGACCGTTGCCCAGGGCAACCTCGTAGGAGAGAGGACCTGTGATCCTGGACACAGAAGCGGGGACCCATGTATGACCAGGCCCGTAATTGCGAGCCCAAACCGGGGCACCCACAAGTAGTTGTCTAGGTGCCCTAGGATGTGAGGTAGATGAAGGCAGTCTGTCCGGATGCACCCGGTCAAGTCTAGTAGGAAGTTGGCGCCCCCAACGAAGTTCAGCTGGACTTCTCCCTGTAGAAGTGGACGGTGTGGTGCGATAAGAAAGGAGAAAGTCAGCCAACCTGTGATGCCAGTCCCCGTAGGTGAGTCTCTTCAAGGCGTCCTTTGCGATGCGCACCATGCGTTCAGCCCTACCGTTGGTGGACGGGTGAAATGGCGCAGACGTGGCATGACGAATCAGGTTTGCCTGTAAGAAAGCTTGGAATTCGGAGGAGGTGAATTGAGGGCCGTTGTCGGACACAATGACATCTGGCAGCCCGTGTGCAGCAAAAATCCCCCTCAGTACCTGAATAGTCTTTGCAGTGGTGGTGGATGAGACAGGCACAACCTCAAGCCATGTTGAATGGCTGTCAACAAGGACCAAGAAGAACTGGCCCTGAAAGGGCCCAGCGTAGTCACTGTGCACCCTAGACCATGGGGACTGTGTTTCCTCCCATCTATGCACAGGAGCTTGGGGCATCTCTGGGCGAGATCGTTGGCACAGGTGGCATGCGTGTACCGTAGCCTCAATATCTTTATCTAAAGCAGGCCACCACAAGGCCACCACAAGTGGCTTCGTGCAAGAGCCTTCATACGAACAATGCCAGGATGACCCTCGTGGAGGGATTCTAAGACCCTAGTCCTCATTGAGGTGGGAATGACAACTCTGTTTCCCCAAAGCAGACAACCCTGAGAAAGGGACAGTTCGTTCCTTTTGGACCAGAAACTCTGAAACTCAGGACTAGGGCAGTGCTCAGGCCACCCGGACAGGACCCAGGAGCGGACACGTGAAAGTGTGTGATCTGTACCTGTTTCAGCGGTAACATCCCTGGCACTAAGAGGGAGCTCGGGCAAGGCTTGGATTGATAGAATGTTGACAGCTGGCGCGGGGTCAGCTTATACTACTGGCAGAGGCAATCTACTGAGGCCATCAGCATGGCCCATTTCTTTCCCAGGCTTGTGGAGTAATGAAAAATCATATGCAGACAAGAAAATAGACCACCTAAGCATTCTAGGGGAAATGATGTGGGGAGTCTGCTTACGTGTGGTAAACAGTCCCAGCAGAGGCTTATGGTCAGTGAAGACCGTGAAATGCCTGCCATATAGAAAATCGTGGAATTTTTTAATTCCAGCAACAACAGCCAGAGCCTCCCTGTCTATCTGAGCGTAGTTGCGCTCGGCAGAAGACAGTGTTCTGGAGTAGTATGCAATAGGAACCTGAGTTCCATCAGACCTGAGGTGACTCAGGACAGCTCCAACCCCGTAGGGGGACGCATCACAAGCGATGCACACAGGGAGAGACTCGTTGAAATGTGCAAGAACACTGTTAGAAGTGAGCAAGGCCTTGACTTCTTTAAAGCAAGCCTCATGCGCTTGTGACCACAGCCACACAGCCTGTTTGTCTAGTAGCCTGTGAAGAGGCTCAGCTACACTAGCTTTATGTGGAAGAAAAGAATTGTAGAAATTCAGGAGGCCTAGGAAGGCCTGAAGTTCGGCCTTAGACTTTGGTCTGGGTGCATCTAAAATAGCAGTCAGTTTGGATTCAGCAGGATGAATCCCAGCAGCATCAATTTTGAATCCCAGAAATTCAGTAGAAGGCACCCCAATCTGCATTTGTCTTTTCTGAGCTTGAGGCCTGATTTCCTGAATCTTAACAGGACAGCCCTAAGCCTTTCAGCTAGAATGTGTGTGGAGTCTCCTGCAATCAAGACATCGTCAAAGTAGGGGCAGACCCCTGGTATACCTCGTAGTGTGTTTTCCATTACGCTTTGGAAAATCCCAGGAGCGACATTCACTCCAAACTGTAGCCTTTTTACTTTAAAGGCTCCCCTGTGGGTCACAATGGTCTGAGCTATGGCAGCATCATCATCAACAGGCAGCTGTTGATATGTTTGAGCTAGGTCAAGCTTTGCAAAAACACGCCCCCCCCTTGAGAGAGGCCAGGATGTGACTGACCACAGGAACAGGATAGGCATGTTGCTGCAATGCCTTATTGAGTGTGCATTTGTAATCAGCACAAATGCGAATGTCCCCATTTGCCTTTAGAGGCGTGACAATGGGGGTCTCCCACGGGCTGGAATCAACAGGTTCTAGGATTCCCTGTTGGATTAGTTTGTCTAGTTCAGTGTCAATCTTACTTTTTAAAGCAAAAGGGACCCTTCTTGCTTTAATCCTAATGGGAGTGACAGTGGGGTCTAGCTTTAAGGACACAGGTGGTCCTTTGAATGTGCCCAGCTGGGGGCTGAAAACATCTGCAAATTCTTTGCAGACTTCCTGTAGGTCGAGTGTTTGTAAGCTATTGAGTCCTGTGACGTGTATCCCCAGGGCCTCAAACCAATCGAGTCCTATGAGACTCGTTCGTTCACCCCCTACTACTAATAAGTCTAGTGGACCTTCAAAACTCTTGTATTGCACGTTAAGGGTGGCCTCCCCCTTAACACACACTCTTGAGTTCTGAAAATCTGTTAATACAATATCAGAAGGCCTTAACTTGGCCTTAGACCCACTTCTGGAACAAATCTTCCTAAATGTATGCAATGAAATGATGGACAGGGCAGACCCTGTGTCTAGTTCCATAGATAATGGAACCCCTTGTAGCTTCACGTTGAGTGACAGCTTTTTCTTCATGGGCTTGTGTGTGCCTGTTCTACAGATGCTTCTTCGCGAAGCGCAAAAACCTACCCTATTCTGGCTGGGGAATCTGGTACCCTTCAGGCGTTCTTCTTGGGGTTGTGCCTTTCGTCGGCCCAGGCACACAGCTGCAATGTGCCCTTGTTTACCGCATGCCCGGCAGGTAGCGGAGCGGAACTTGCAGTCGGTTCTCCTGTGGCGACCTCCACAGCCGATGCACTTGAGCGGAGCCGAAGAGCTTCCCTTCTGGTTCTCTTCCTTCGCGGGGTGTAGACGGTCGACTTCCTCGTCCGGATCCTCCTCGGAGTTTCGTCGGACGTCTTCCTGGTGCACGGACGCACCCTCTGCACTGTTTCTGATCGGCCGCATGTTTTTGATGGCGCCGCCTGCTGCTTCTTCTGCGGTGACTTCCCTTAAGGCGTCTTGGAAGGATAATTCTTCCTTTGCGAAAAGTCTCTGTTGTAGCTCGCGATGCCTTAACCCGCACACGAATCGGTCCCTCAGTCGTTCCTCGAGGTCCTTGAACTCGCAGGGCTTGGCGGCCTTCCGTAACGCGGCGATGTATTCCTTGGCTGACTCACCGGGCCGTTGATCCCTTTGTTCGAAGGTGTGGTGCCATGAGATAACAGACACCTTGGGGTGGAAGTGCTCTTTCAGCAGCTTCTTCAGGTCTGCGTAGCTTACAGACTCTACTGGGACAGGTGCTGCAAGGTTTTCTGCGATTTCGAAGGCGTCTTGGCCGCAAACGCAAAGCAGGGTGGCCGCCTTCAAGCTATCTTCCCTCACTTGGTTTGCCTTGAAGTAGTTCTCCATTCTGGATACGTAGGACTCCCACCGCTCTGGATGTGAGACGTCAAATTCCGAAAGCCTTCCGATTTTCGCCATCTTCGGATCTTCAGGAGACGGGTCTATCAGCCAGCCTACCCCCGAATGCGCACCGGATTGGCGGGCAGCTGCCGAGTCGACGCCGTTCCTCTTTCGCCGCTCAGGACTCCTTGGGTAAGCTTACACTTCTTCCTTTCCAGGTAGTGCAAGGCATCCCACCTTCGTCGCCAGTGTTGAGTCCGTGGCGGGAAAACAGACACGAGAAGCAGCTGGAGTTCTCAGTTTCTTTTATTCAGCGTTCAGCTTACAGGAAGATGGCTTCAGCCTCGCCCAAACGCCTCGCAGCCTCTTATATAGGCAACTCCCGGGTAAATGGGTTACTTTTCCCGCGCCAGCACCCGCGCATGCGCACGGCGCTGGCGACAGCCTGTCTGGTCCCGGGCAGCTTTGCACCTGCCCGGGACTGCCTGCAAACGCCCGAGCCGTTTGCAAGGCTCGGGACATAACACTCTTCATAGTGTTTCTTTCCATTACAGGAAACTTAACTGACTAACTTTAGAATATATAGGAGAATTTTTCAATTGTAAAGCATTTATGCAATCACCATTTGATGCAGAGAGGAAACAATTTGCCTGTCTGACCTATCTATCAAATATTTACCACAAGAAATTACGAGAATTATAGGTTGTTATTTAGAGCTGGACAAAAGCAACTCTTAAGCTGTATGGTGGGAAAACTAGATTAGATCTGAGCATAGAAGCTTGAATGTTATATCTGAGAGACTAATTCTAATAGAAATTGCACCTGCAAGATGAATTATTATCTTTATATCACCTATTAAGAGTGTAGAAGAGGTGTAAATTAGCATGTAAAGCAAATGTCTATACTTACTCATTTTTAATTATGTTGGGCATAGGAGTACATGTTAATAAATGGCAAATTAAAGTAATAAAAAGGGGGATAAATATTTTCATATTCTTTCATCTTAGATACATATTGGAGATATTTAGACAGTTATGCAGAGATGGTATCTATGCCTACTTTCTCCATTCTATGAAGGAAGCAATCAATATAGTCACGCGGGTTCTGGGGATCCAATGTCTTCTTGTGCAATTCCACTTTCTCACGGATATAATCATAGACTTTTTCTGTCTCAGACTCGATATGTCGTCCCAAAAAGTATTCCATTGTTTTTGGAAAAGTATTGTACACCTGTTGCAGAGTTGATGTTAAACAGTATATGTTTTTAGACCATAATGGTGAAGGCTTAAAGCCCCAAATATTCAGAGATTAGCTTTTAGTCTGATATTGTTAATTATCAAACCTCAGCTAGGTGCCAAGACCAAGAAGACAGGTTCCACAAGAATTTCAGTAAGCTATCTTTAATTTTAGTGTTGAGCAAATACAGTGTCTTAGGAACGACTGCATGGTAGGAATTTTTATTTATAATAAGTTGGTTAAAAAGGAATCTCTTTGACAAGCCTTTTCCCCAGATCTTTCCTCACCTAGGCTGAGTTCCCTGCAGGATATATTCTGTCAAGCCTCACCCCAGCTATCCCATAAAGGGATAATGATGAAAATGATGACAGTTCTTGAAGCAGGGAGGAAAGAGGGACATAAGAATAGGGGAAATGTCTAAAAACACCATGAGAAGAAGAGAGGCGCCTGTACATAATTTGATATGATGATTATCAAATTATATATAGTTAAATATGTAGCATTGTACTTTTAAAAACTATTATAATAATATACCTTTCAGTTTGATCACAATATTGATATTCCTCTTATACCACAAACCTAATAGCTCAGGGGATAATGCTATTGTCATTTCTTAGAACAACATGGAAATAAGTTTGAGAATTAAAGTTAACTTTTCAGTCAAGGGATGAAAAAATTAAGTGAAACATTACAATTAGGAGGAATCAGCCCCTCCAGTGAAATTCCATGTTTGGCTCTCCCTGACTAATTAAGAAATGGGCAAGTCCTAGAAATAAGCAGGTCAGGGCCCACAGCAGTTACGAGAGAATCAAATGATCCTGTGAGAAATAAGCCCAGCCAGAAAAGAAGATTTGCTGAGAACCAATTTATATTTTGATGGCTCAGTCTTGCTGGACGTCTGGATTTGACTTCTCCTGCTTATCTACAGTATCTTATCTCTACATCTACAGTAATCTCCACATCCCTTATTTGGATATTCGAACACGCAGAGAGGCCCACTAGTAAAAATGAGTGTTTACAGCAGGAAGAGCATCAGAGAGGAAAAACATACCTGTCCTAGGAAACTAGTCAGAAATCTTATTTGATACTCCACAATCTGCTGGTTCTCTATGAAGGTTTGATCTTTGTAATCAAATCGATTGCCAAAGACGACTGCACAGATCACATTAGAAACAGCACTTGTCAAATTTCTTCTTGGATCAAAAGGCTGCCCTACAACAAAGGCCACAGACATTTATGGGAGGGATCAAAGAATGGGGAACTTCCCTTCCACAATTCTCACCACAGAACTGCAACAAAAAAAGTGTGTTTGGGTCAAAGAAGTTATTCAGAGATTTTATTGGTATTTTTTTAATAAATAATATTAAATAGAAGAACCTAGATGTAATTAAATGAAAACATAAACCTTATAACCCTCTAGAGGTTTTTTTTCAAAACCTTCTTGCTGTCTTCTGTCAAGAATTGTTTTCTCACTTTCTCTGCCCTTTTCTGCTCATGGTGGGTTTTTCCCTCCCTGTCCCTTCCCTTAGAAGTTTCTATTTCCAGTTTTCACTCTCCTGACTGTCTCTCCCTCCACCTTCTAATTTCTTCTTTCTTTTTAAAATATAATCCTATTATTTCATTTCTTTCCCCTTCTGATTCCAGAGATTTGTGCATTCATGATTATATTCAAAAGAGGCACAAATCTTTAGAGAAATACTATTTATGACTATATGTTTTCCTTTCTAGTTTTAGATGTCATTCATCCATAACTTCTTTTTCTGGCTCTTGAATTTGCCTGATATATAATCATGTTCAAATAAATTGTTTAAACAGTTTTTTTGGCTTCTTTTCCCAGTTTTAACTGAGCACTCTATTCCCTCAGCACTGTCTCCTTCTAATCTATCCAGCTCTTTTTTTAAATAATAATAATATTCCATTAGGGACTTCCGGTGGTTAAGGCGGTGGAGATGGCGGCTACTTTGTAGCCATCCTCCTGAGACGGTGTTAGATCCGCGGAGCACAGCGTTCATCAGCTGGCCCGCGGCTCGCAATCCTCTTCCCGGGCGAAGGGAAGGGGTAGAGATCGCATGAATAGAGGTAGAACCTCTTAACCTTCCCTGGATTTTTATTTTAGGGGGGTAGAAAGAGTGCTCCCTCGGAGTTCATTGCCTTCTCCGCCTCTCAGCTGTCTTTGTTTCTTCGGAAACAAAGCGAAACGCCGCTACCATCTCCGTATTTAAAGTAACCGTGAGTAATTTTAAACCGGACAGAACTGTTTAAAGGACTTTATTTATAGTTTAGCTTTATTTTATTTTTTTTTAGTTTACTTAGTTTATTTAGTATGTGCTGATTTTTTTTTATTTTTTGAGCTTTCTTTTTTTTCTCGCGGGCGGAAAAGTGAGAGTGAAAGTAAAATGGCGTTTTGAAAGTTTTTCCTTTGAAAGACGGACTGGCTGAATTATTGCTTAATACTGTTTTCTTTTTTAAGTTTTTTTTTATCTTCTGGGAGTTTTCTAAATTGATTCTATTTTATTCTATTTTATTTTATTTTTAATCTTTTGGATTTTTTATTTTTTACTGGTATTTTTATGAAGAAAGGAAGATAAATTAAAATGGCTTCAAAACGACAACCAGCTACTACAGCTCCTAAGGTAATCTCTTCTCCTGCTACTTCTACTGGGCAACAACAACTTAAAATAATACCCTCAGTGCAGCAACCTAAAACTACTCCACCTTCACCTCCCCCATCTGGTACATCAGCACAAGACATTAAAGAAATAATGGTAAATGCTGTGTCACAGTTTAGGGAGGAAATGAAGCAATTGTTGGAACAGAATAAATCTGAAAGTAAGGAAGAAATGAAGCAAGAGATGAAGGAACTTTTAGAACAGAATAATACTATTTTGAGGGATGATATACTTTTAGCTTTATCTGGAGTGGCCTCAGTGGTCGTGAAGCTGGACTCTAGAGTGGAGGAAATTGAAGAAACAGTAGAACTTTTGGATTATAAATTCCAAGATATGGAGAAAAAAGTGGAAGCTTCACAAGATGATATTCTTATGTTCCAGTATAGACAGATGGAATATGCTTTGAGAATAAGAGGCCTGAAAGAAGATAAAACCCAAGACTTGATGGAAATGGTGATTAATGACTTGGCTGTTATTTTGAACATAGATAAAGATGAGTTACGTGGGGAAGTGGAAAGAATTTATAGAGTTAATTCTTGGATTGCAAAACAGAAGAATCTGCCTAGAGATGTGGTGATATATTTTGCTAAGAAGTCTTTGCGAAACCAGATTCTGCAAATTTTCTACAACAAAAGATTCCAGATTGCTGCCCAAGATATTATTATATTAAAGGAAATTCCACCTAAAATTTTAAGAAGCAGAAAAGATTTTGCTTTTTTAGCAAATGAACTTAAAGCAAGACTGATGCCATTTAGATGGGAGATTCCGATGGGTATTGTCCTGAGCCATGCGGGGACACGTTACAGACTTAATACAGTTGCTAAAGCTAAGGATTTTTACAAAACGGTCCTGGGTGCAGGCTCACCTCTGCCCATGATGCACAAAGTCTTGAGTGATAAAGAGATGGAACAGAAACCTGAAGGTACAGGTGTGATGACTGCTGGACAGGTGGTATGGATGTCCCAAGCAGAGGTTAAAGAACAGAGAATGACCCGTGCAGCACATAAACGCAAAGAAAAAGAACAACAGAAAAAAGAAAAAGAAATTAAAGAATCTACTCAGCAAATTGTCTCAATGCCGGTGGGAGGAGCAAGACCCAAAAGCTCTGCAACATACTCTTCAGTAGCAGAATTTGAGGGGATCTTCTCCAGGCTCAAGGCCAAGGGAGATGGCAAAGCTCCTGACCTGGAATGTTAATGGATTAAATATTCCTCAAAAGAGAAAAAAAATCTACCATTATTTAAAGCAACACAACAATGATATTATCTGTTTGCAAGAAACTCATATTACATCTAAAGACCAAAAATACTTAAACAATCCTCGTTTGGGATCTCATTTTGTATCTCCCACCCCTGGAAAAAAAGGGGGTGTGGTAATCTATGTTAAGAAGAATTTATCTGCTATCCTGTTAGAATCAGATCCTCATGGAAGATATGTTATGCTTGAACTTGGTTTATATGGCAAGAAAATTCTTATTGTGGGGCTGTATGCACCAAACCAGCAACAGGAGCAATTCTACAGGTTGCTACATCAGAAAATAACCTTGTTGGACTATAGATCTGTGATTTTAATGGGAGACTGGAATGGTGTCTTAGATATACAAAAGGACAAAAAAGGCTCTTCTACTTTTTTTAAACAGGCTAAGCTACCTAAAGCCTTCTTTGAAATGAAAGAAGATTGGGAATTGAGAGACTATTGGCGTGAACGTAACCAAGAAGAAAGGGACTTTACCTTCTTCTCAGATAGACACCAATCTTTCTCAAGAATTGATTTTTTTTTATTACAACAGATTTATACAACAGGGTGAAGAATGTAAAAATTTTTCCTAGGACATTGTCTGATCATAGTCCAGTTTGGATGGAACTGTTTGCTGAGAAAGAAGACAGGAGATCCTGGAGGGTGAATGAGAATTTATTTAAACAAGAAAAAAATGTCCACAAACTAAAGGAATGTTTAAAGGAATATTTTGCTTTAAATATGAATAAGGGAACATCAATGTCAATGGTGTGGGATGCAAGTAAAGCTTTTATGCGTGGTATTTTGATAAAAATGAATAACTTGCATAGACAGAAACAGATTCAGAAATGTAAAGATTTAGAAGAGGAGATTAAATTAAAAGAGAAACTTCTAATTTCAAATCCTTTAGATGAAAAGGTGAAAGGAGCTATAAAACTGTTAAAAACACAATTTAACATGTTGATGGCTGATCAAGTTGCAACCAATTTACTATTTATGAAACAAAATACATTTTGTAATGCTAATAAACCAGGGAGATGGTTGGCTTATCAGTTAAGAAAGAAACAGAAACAGAGGAATATAGATAAAATAAATTATAATGGTAAATTGGTTTATCAGAAAGAATTGATTAAGAAATCTTTTTTAGAATACTACCAAAAATTATACAAGAGTACTAATATTCAAACTACAGATATAAACAATTATTTAGGTAAAGTTAATTTTCCTAAATTAACAGAAGATCAGGAAAAAGAGATTAATGGTTTAATTACTAAGGAAGAAATTGTTACAGCTATTAAACAATTGAAATTGGGCAAAGCGCCGGGTACGGATGGGTTGACATCTATTTATTATAAAACTCTAGTAGAAGAGATGACTCAACCGTTGTGTGAATTGTTTAATAACTTATTACAGGGGTTAGAGATCCCTCCATCTTGGCGTAATGCATTTATATCACTGATTCCAAAAGACAATCAAGATCTTACATTGCCTAAAAATTATAGGCCTATATCTCTTTTAAATGTGGATTATAAAATTTTTGCAAAAATTTTAGCTAATAGGTTTATGGGGATTTTGCAGCAGATTATACATAAGGATCAATCGGGTTTTATAACTGGAAGGTATATGAAAAATAATGTTAGACAAATTATTAACTTATTAGAGTATTTAGAAAAGAATAACCAAGTCTCTGCAGGCTTGATATTTTTGGATGCTGAAAAAGCCTTTGACCAAGTGAACTGGCAGTTTATGTTATGTTTAATTAAGGAGATGAATTTTGGACAAAATATATTACAAGTACTATCTAATATATATCAAAAACAGACTGCTCAACTTATTGTAAATGGGGGTTTGTCAGAGGCTTTTGTAATAGAAAAAGGTACAAGACAGGGATGCCCGTTATCCCCGTTATTGTTTGTTTTAACATTGGAAATATTGTTGATTAAAATTCGGGAGTCTCAAGAAATAAAAGGAATAGAAATTAATAAAAAAGAATATAAATTAAGAGCCTTTGCAGATGACTTGGTTGTTACTTTGTCTCAACCTACTTGTTCGGTGGTAAAATTATTACAATTGATCCAACAATATGGACGTGTTTCTGGTTTTAAAATTAATAATAATAAGACTAAAATATTAGCTAAAAATATGACTAATGGTGATAAACAGGTTCTAGTTAAGTTAACAGACTTTGAAATTGTTGATAAGGTAAAATATTTGGGGGTTACATTATCTGCTTCCAATGCAAAACTGTATAAAAATAATTATGAAAAGTTGTGGACGGAGATACAGAAGGATTTAAAAAATTGGAACAATTTACAGTTATCCCTTATGGGTAGAATTGCAGTTATTAAAATGAATGTCCTGCCAAAGTTTATTTTTCTGTTTCAAATGTTACCTATTTTAAAGAGTGATCGTAATTTAGATGAATGGCAAAAAGGTATTAATAAATTTGTTTGGGCAGGGAAAAAACCAAGGGTGAAACTTAAAATAATGCAAGATTTTCGTGAGAGAGGTGGACTCAAGGTACCAAATATGAAATTGTATTATGATGCTGTAGTACTAACATTGATCAGCGATTGGGTGAATTTAACAAATATAGAAATACTTCATTTGGAAGGTTGGGATTTACTTTTTGGATGGCATGCCTATTTAATATTTAATAAAAAAGTGGATTGGGTTTTTAAGTCTCATATTATAAGAATCTCTTTGCTTAGAGTGTGGAGGAAGTATTATAAATTTGATTTTAAAATACCATTATGGGCTATACCTCGGCATGCCATAGAAGGTATAAGGAAAGGGGTTAATATGGATATGGTTTCTTATGCACAGTTACTTAGATGGGATGGCCAAGACTGGCAGTTAAAATCTTTGGAAGAACTAATACATGAAAATCTAACTTATTCATGGTTCCAATATAGACAAATAGTGGACAGATGGAAGATGGATTGTAAAATGGGCTGGCTTAGAGAAGATGAAATTCTCCTAAAACAAGTAAGAGATCAAAGGCCAACCCATATTAAGAGAGTTTATGGGGTTTTAGTGGAATTGGATTCAGAATCTGAATTAGTTAAAGATTGTATGATTAAATGGGCACAGAATATTGGTGAATCGATTTCAATGGATACTTGGGAACTTATTTGGACAAGAAATGTTAAATTCACACAAGCGCAAAATTTAAGAGAGAATTTTTATAAGATGTTTTATAGATGGCACCTTGATCCAAAGAAAATGTCCATTATGTACTCTAATTTACAGCCGAAATGCTGGAGATGTGGACACTTGGATGCTACTTATTATCATATCTGGTGGACGTGTAAGCATATAAAAGCTTTTTGGATTAAGATATGGTGGAATATTCAGAGAATTTTTAGAAGGAGGGTAAAATTTACTCCGCAATTATTTTTATTAGGTATTGTTACTGATTGTGATGCTAGGGAGGTTATATTGATGCTAAATTTGATTACAGCCGCTAGGCTGTTAATAGGACAATATTGGAAGAAGGAATCCTTGCCTATTTTACAAGAGTGGTTTTATAAAGTTTCGTATTTGGCAGAAATGGCAAAGATTTCGGCTTTTTTAAAGGAGCAATCTCAAGAGAAATTTTTTGCGGTATGGGAAAAATGGATAAATTTTATACAACATAATTTGGATATGGAAAAATATTATTTAGCCTTTTCATAACTTGTAATGATTGTTTTTTTTTTCTTTCTTTCTTTCTTCTTCTGTATTATTATTTATATACTTTTCTATATATGTTTTATTTTTTGCCTACCTCTTTCTTTTTTCTTTCTCTCTCTCTTTTCTCTTTCCCTTTTTTCTTCCTCTTTTTTTTTAATATATATTATTTACTTTAAAGTTTATGTTACGTATATTATTATTATACATATTATTATTATGATTTTTATTATTATTATTAATTATCTTATAAATTGTATACGTTATTTTTTAAAATTTGTTAAATAATCCTATATTCAGTTCTGGGAAGTCGGGGGGGGAGGGTGGGGTGGTTTGGGAGGGGGGGTGGATGTTTATTTGTAAAATTTTTGAAAAAAATTCAATAAAAAAAATAATAATAATAATATTCCATTCTCATTTTTTTTCTATTTATTTTTTTAAATCTCCTTCCAGAAAAGACTTGTCCACGGAACATGATTTTCCAAGATGCTACATCTCCTGGAAAAAAAATAAATTTATATCTGTCAAGCACCAGGCAAATCAGGCGATCCAGGCAGTTGAAATGGGTATAAAGATTTATTGTAAGCTTAAGCTCTCTACAAGAATCTGAACTAATAATGGCCAAAGGAAATTAGCTGGATGTAGATCTCTTGTGGGCATGAAGGGACTCATGACTGATGATTTGTTTGATCCCTCCCTTGGGATCAGCCTGGCCATTTCCTACAATAGCCTTAATTCAAATCCACGCCACCTCACAGATCTCCGTCACTCATGCAGTTGATTCTTATCCATATTTTCCTTACCTCATTTATATATACACACATATATATACCTATCTAAGTTTTTCTTTATTTTGTGCACTTAAGCACAGATGATTTGAGTTTCAGTTTAGAATCTAGTTTTCCTGTAACTTCACATAAAACAACAAACCCTTTCCAGTTTCATATTTTAAAAGATAATAGTCTTCCTGATATGATTCTTCTGTGGGAGAACAGGTCTCAGTTTCTTTAGACGACCTTTTGTGGCAGCCATTTCCTCCACCAGACAAAGAGCTTCCTCCTGCACCCTCTCAGACATTCTTTTCTTCCCCATCCCAAAATCTCGCAAGGTGGACAGTGTGAACCGTCGCAGCTCCCTCCATTTCTTCTCATCATTTGTAGATATTCCTGAAACAAAAGACACCAAAAGGATCATGATGTTGGTCAATTCTCAGCTTTTGTGGAAGAGCATGTTTCGATATAATATTTCAGGCACTTTTCTTTTTCAAATCTTTGTTTCAATCATAGCTGAAAGAGGCTACTACACTGCAATAAATTATGCATCAGAGAAATGTCCTTCCTCACATTTAAAGTAAACAAGGCTTGATGTTTGAAATACCAATGAAGCAAACGTCACAGTTGCCATCTTTCCATTCTTGACTGCTGTCATAAGTGTGTTATAGATAGAAAGAAATCCCTACACTAGACATGGAACTCTATACTGAGATGCCATTTTCAGTAAGCAGAAGAAAATTGGAGTCGTTTTGAGTTGTGGATTTTATTTTATTATTATTATTTGCTGTAGAGGCTTTATTGACAAAAATAAGTACTTCCAATTACTTATGCTTATAGCTTGCATGATTGTGTGCTAACAAGTTACTCTCAACTCTTAGCTACCTTTAGATTTCCTCCAACACAATCTATCCCTAACCTAATTCTTCAGGACTTGTAAGGGTACATTTGTCATCATTTTAACTGAGTTCATTGACGTTGCAGATGGCCCTCCTTTTCCCTTTATTTTTCTCACCATTATACCCTCCTCTAGGGAGTGAGACCTTTGAACCATACTGTATGTCTGAAGAATGATAATTTCAGTCTGGTCATTTATGCATTCAGTGGAAACTCTGAGCTGATTTGCTCAATGAACTATTTGTTTCTTATTCTTGGATGTCCACAATATTCTCAGAGATTTTGTCCAACATCAAAACCATATTCTTTCAATATTCTTTCTCTCCTGTTTATTCAAAGTCCAAATTGTCAAAGTATCCTCTTTGAAGAACATTTTGTCTGCCTTCCCAAAGGACCAGTTTAAAGGTGAGATTACTTTTTTTTTTTTTTTTGAATGTAAGGAACAACCAGAACAGATTTCAGAAGTGATCAGTGGAAGCGAAATGGTGAAAAAAAGGTGTTCCTCCCTCTTCAAAAAACATGACCAGATCAACCTCTTTACAAAACTTCATTTCAAGTGAAACTTTCATAACTATCAATAATATTAAGAGCATTAAAATAATTTAAAATTACTTATAGAAAATTAAAAAGAGCAACAACGAATAAAGAAATAAAAGCGAATCAACCTTTATTTTGGAACACTCGTCTGTGAAAGGGCGTATTAGTTCGCCCACCAAATTCTTCTGCTTGATTTATCAAAGCATCTTTTACCACCTCATATCCACAAAGAGCAACCATTGGTTTTGATCCAATCCAGATAGTAAATATAGGTCCATACTTCTCTGTAAGCTAAAGGTAAAATTAGATGAAAACCCAGTTAATTAAACGATAAAGCATTTTTTGGTGAAATTATTCTAAAGCATGCTTGAAATATTTCTTAAATTCATAACAGAGAAATCATGTTGAATCTAACCTTTAATAATTCTTAGTATCTACAGGGTTCATCAATTTGATTGGATAAATTGCATGTACTGTATCTCCTAGCTGGAGAGATGATGGGAATGAGATAATCACAATTTTGACTGTATAATACATTTTTGCAAGTAATCTGGTACTACAAAATATATGATAGCAAGTTTTGCTTGTAACCACATATTTTAATGAACTTTGTAACCTCCATTGTGTATTTATCAGACTGTAACTAGGTGACTTTAAATTAAAATTCCTACTGAAGATGCACAAGAGTCCCTAATAAAATTGGACTCTTATAAAAGAAAATCAAACTCCTTAAACTAGGAAAATGTGGATATAACTTTCCAAATAATCACCTGAAAAAGCAAAGAAATACAATAGTTACCTTTTTATAGGATTTTTTTAGAGGTAGTACATCTTGCTGAAAGAGGTTCCCCAGAATAGGCCATGGAGTAGGTCCAGGGGGCAGCTGCACTTTTTTCTTGTACATTTGGAAAGATGAGAAAAGGGTGAAAAGTATACAGATTGAGCCAGACGAAATCCTGCACTATTACATTTCTGATCTTTAGATTGTCTGGCTGCTATGAGGCCTACATCAATTTTAGGGGGCACTGGCCACTTAAAATATGTTTGTAGGGAAGCATCAGATTTGCCAATGCGTGCGTTAAAATCCCCAGCTATTATTATAATTGAGTCTGGGTAATGCCATGATAGCAAATTTACATAGGGATCAAACTGATCCTACAGTTTGTTTATTTCTCTATGCCCACAAAATGGAGGGAAATAGGCATTAACCAATAATACAGTGCTAACTCCATATCTGAGCAAGACTCAAGCATAGATACTGAAACACTGAGTTTAACAGATACCATAGATCTGACGGTCTGTCCTTTTTTATGCATTCAGAGTAAAGGGAATATAACAAAAATTGTGTCATTCTCGTTTGTTGATTAGGGCTAGATTCCAGAGGTCTGGTAGGCGGGAGGTGTCGTCACATTTATTCATGTTGTGGGGGTGTTTTTCTATTTTGATGGCTTTCATAATTATTCTCTTGTTGTGGTGTTCAGTTTTGGAGATTAGTTTGGTTCTTTCAAAATCAATTTCATGTCCTGTAGCTTTAAGGTGATGGAAGAGGGAGGAAGTTTTTTCTTCTTTTCTGGCTGCACTCTTGTGTTCTGTGATTCGTGCATTTATTCTCCTATTAGTTTGTCCAATGTATGTGGCTGGGCAGATTTTGCATGGTATTTCATAGACTCCTTGGTTTTCTAGCTGGATTATGTCTTTGGGGTTTCTTAAGATGTTGGCTATTTTTTGGTTGGTGCCGAAGGCTGTCTTGATATTGTGTTTGTGGAGAATTTTGCTGTTTTTATCTGTGGTGCCTTTGATGTAGGGGAGGAGGGCAGGAGAAAACCCGAATAAACAAAGACCTACATATATAGTAGGCAAAGAATCTTTCTTCCAATATTGTCCAACCAATAACCTTGCCGCCGTAATAAGATTCAACATTAAAATAGTTTCTTTAACATCACAATCTACAATAGTAACTAATAAGAATAATTGTGGTGAAAACTTTATCTTTCTATTAAAAATCTTCTGAATGTTCCACTAAATGTTAATCCAAAAGGCTTTTATGTTTTTACACGTCCATCAAATGTGGTAATAAGTTGCATCCAAGCATCCACATCTCCAACACTTAGGTTGTAAATTAGGATACATAATATCCTAATTTACAGCAAAAATATCCTAAGTTTGCAAAGTTTTGATTGTTGAAGTATTCTAGAATGTTGTGACTTAATGTGTGTCTCCTGGAGACAAATTATATCCATTTTTAGCTTTTGTAGTCTATGAAATATTTTACTCCTTTTTGATGGGGAGTTAAGACCATTTATATTTATTGAAAGAATTCCAATTTCCTCCATAGTTTCAGTTGTGTCAAGATCTCAATTTTCTAGAAGAGCTTATCTGCCTCTGATCTTTAGGCCTCACATCTTCCTCTGATTGAAACTTTTTAGGCGCTTCTTTCTCTGTTTGTTTCAATGTTCCTGCAGTCGTTTCCTCTGGTTTGTTAGGTTCCGCCTCACCTCTCTCCAAGATTATTAAAAAAGTCCTCTGTTGATCCTTCTGGGATCAACCATCTGAAGTTCAGTCCTTTACTGATCAATTTCCTCGTTAAGAATTGGTATTCTCTTCGAGCTTCTCTAATTCTTCTTGGGATCTGTTTGAGAACTACCAAATCTTTATCTTTGTATTTCAGAGGTTGGTCCCTCATAGTCTCAGGATCACATCCCATACTGCTCTTTTGCTGAATCTAATATGAACTTCCCTAGGCACTCTATTTCTTCTTGCCTAATTTGAATTCACTCTAAAGACTTGATCAACTTCTCTTTTGATTTGATCCCTTTCCATTCCGAGCAAGTCCGCCAATAACTCAGTCATCAATAGTAACAAGTTGTCATCACTCTCTTCTACCACATTTTGGAATCTTAGAAAGTATGATGCACGTTCAAACTCCATCCTTGCCATATTTTCTTCCAGCTCCGCATTAGATTGCACCAATCTTTGATTTTCATCTTGCAGAGCCTCTAATTTCTGGTCTACTACTACTGACTTGTCTTCAATATTTTGCATTTGTTGACTTCCGCTGGTGACGGCCATGGCGATGGCGGCTTTCTTCAGCCGTCCGCCCTGGGATGTGTCAAAGCCACCTGAGACAGCGAGCAACAGCTGTCTCGCAGCTTGGAAACTCTCTCCCCAGGCGAAGGGGAGGAGGTGAGCTTTCCTCAGATAGTGGTAGAGCTCCCTGAGGCCCCAATGTTTTCTTTTTTGGTGGTCAGAGGGTGAGCTCCCACGGAGTCTGATTTTTCCAGGGCAAAGCTAGACACTGCTTCCACATCTGCGCTTAAAATGAACTTGTGAGTAAATTTTAAAGCAGAAAGAGCTGACCAGGAGAGACTAAAATGGGGATTATTTCGGACTTTAACTCTGGAAAAGAACTTATCTTCTCCTTCTTTTAAATAAGAGTGGTGAAAAATGGTGCTGAGATGTTGATTCATTGAGTGAAAGGACCGGAACTTCTACTTGGAACAATGTAACAGATTTTGTGTTTGTATAAATTGCAAGAATCTTCTTTTTTTCTTTTAAGGGGGCTTTTGTCTTTTTTCCCCTTCTCCTTTTTTCTTTGGGGGGGGGGTATTTGTTGATTTTATAAGATTTTAGCAGACTTTTTATAAGTGGTCTTAAAAATAAAATGGCTTCAAAGCGTCTCGGAGCTTCTGTTGCTTCTAAAGCCTCGATCTTCCCAGTAATGCAGACAGCTCAGCAAGCTAAGTCTAAGTTTCCACCACTTTCTCCATTGTCTCCAGCATCTATACTTAAAGATTTACAGGATGCCTTGGAAAAAAAGGCATGACAGGTTAAAGAAGAGATGGAGATTTTTATTGAAAATAAATTAATGAAATTGACAGAGGACATAGCATTTGCGTTTCAAAAGTTTGTTGGTCATATAGATCTTCTGGATGAGCATTTATTTATTTATTTATGAGACTTATATACCGCTTTAAGTGCAAGCACACTCTAAGCGGTGTACACCAGTAAGCAATGTATATATATATATATATATTTACATTGCTCCCAACAATCTGGGTCCTCGTTTTACCTACCTCGGAAGGATGGAAGGCTGAGTCAACCTTGAGCCGGTGTGATTTGAACTGCTGACCTGCTGAACACAGTCAGCTAAAGTGGCCTGCAGTACTGCACTCTAACTGCTGCGCCACCTCAGCTCAGCATATTGATGATGTTGTGGAAAATTTTGAAAAACTGGAAGATCGAATTGACAAAGTGGAAAATAATGTGGAAATAATACAGGATGAAGTTATTATGTTACAATACAAAAACATGGAATTTGCTTTAAGAATAAGGGGAATGAAGGAAAATATTCAAGAGGATTTGAGACAAGTGGTGGTAAAAGATATAGCTCTTATTTTAGGAGCTGAGCCTGAAGAAATATTGAGAGAGACGGAAAAAGTTTTTAGGGTTAATTCTAGGGTTGCGAGACAAAGGAATTTGCCACGAGATGTGGTTATCTATTTTTCTAGGACAGTGGTTCTCAACCTGTGGGTCGGGACTCCATTTGGGGTCGAACGACCATTTCACGGGGGTCGCCAAAAAAACACAGTCTGCCATTTTTTCCCCTTTTCCTTAGCTGTGCCACTCCCTTTTATTCTATTGGCTTTTGAAAACCAATAAGTGCAACATATTTTTCCCGCCTTGTGCATGTGCATTAGGCTGGAGACAGCCTGTCTGGCCGAAGCAGCCTCATGGTCTGCCTGGGACTCTCTGCACCTGTTGTGTCAATCACAGCCCAGGACATAACAAAAGTGGTTTCCATTCTTTTAATCAGGAGACAGATTCGCTGTTTAAGAGACTTCAATTGATTGAGGCTATAACTGACTTGGGTGATTTGCAAACTCATAATCTGGTAAATCGCCAAGATTGGGCCTCTGCCCTGCTACTACAGAGCCCAGGAAAAGCTCAGGTGGAGGAAATATATACCATAGCTTACTAGAATCTGAAGTGTTTGCCAAAATTCCACATATTTCTTTTTTCCTGTTGGTAAAGTGCCTGTGAATAGTTTAATGCCAAAATTCAAAGAGATACTAAAAAAGTGAATTTACAAGTAAGGGATGAAAAAATTCCTAAATGTAATTGAATAATTTAACTTAGCCACAGGTAGTTCTTTAGTGTTATTAGGATTAATTATGTAATCATGCAATGTAAGATGAAGGAGCCCTGGTGGCGCAGTGGTTAAAGTGCAGTATTGCACTATAGCCTACAGTTGATCCTGATGGGGCTCAAGGCTGAATCAATCTTTCATCCTTCCAAGGTCAGTAAAATGAGGACGCAGATTGGTGGGGCAATATATAAATAATGCTCTACATTGTAAGTCACCCAGAGAGTGTTGTAAAGCACTACGGGTGCTTTACAATGCCTAAATGCTTTTGCTATTGCTATGAAGCTGCTAGGCTGATTTTTACTGCCCTAAAAAGACAAATCAGGAGAGGTTTGCATAATTGTAGCCATGCATGGAACTCCCATGTGGAGAGCCTTGTCCCAGAAAGCAGGTCCCTATACTGTAATTGGACTATTTGAATTCACCTATACCCCTAAGGCAAGACTTGGACTGTCCCTTATTTGAGCTGCAAAGGCATTTAATACTTTCCCATTTCTTAATAATTTCCCAGAATGAGGTTCTGCAGAGCTGGAAGGGTATATAAGAATGTTTTTTTTTTCTTGTTTCAAATAGAGTCTAACTATCCATTGAGGCTCTATTAAATATTGCTGAACCTTGTTCCCACCGTCCCTTTCACCCTTATTAGAGGCCATATTAAGGACAAAGTTGAAACCCAGTAAACATGCTTTCATGACCCAGTTAGGATTTTTAAAGGTAAAACACACAGGTAAAATGTAAAAAAAAAAATCACACACCTTAAAGTTTTTCTCACTGGCCTGCATGGAGTCTACAATGCTGGAATGTTTTTTTGTGCCAGGCAGATGATGGGATTACTGACAGAGCCTGAAATGCAAATTTGTCTTGGAGGCAGCACAGCGGATTAGGCAATAACAGCTGAGAAAGCAAAAATGTCCTTTTTCCTAGGGCTAAGAGAGAATGTCATCAGACTGGCTTTCATGGCTAAAGTAAGGCTTGAACCCCCATTCTTTTACTTTCTAGTCTGGTGCCTTAATCTCTAAACCAAACTGGCCCTTTTATAAAAGCTTGCTTTTTCCTTGATTCCAAGGAAAAGGAAAACAGATTTAGTATACACATTTTAGCAATAACTTCTCACCCCTTGCAATACTAAGGATTCCAAATGCATTATTAATGATAAATCCAGATTAAAATGCAAAAATCACTCTAATGTTGCCATACAATATATGCTAACGTCAAATCTTCTGAACCATATCTTAAACTGACCATAAACTTTTTCTTGCTTCTTACATCCTATCTAGACCAGTCTTTTAATTCCTTCTAAAGCTGGCATTCATTTCTCAAAATCCCCTTTCTACAAACAGTTGCAAAGTATTAACTTCCCTACAAGCAAAGCATATACAATTATGAAAATCAAAGCTGTAAGCATGGCAGCTGTGCTTATCTCTACATGCCACTCATCTCTTACAATTCACTGTACAAATACAAAGATCTTGTGCCCTTCTAACTAATTCTTAATTGTGCAAGTGTCTCTGTTTTTAGCAAAAAGGTTGAAACTGCTTCTCCTTTTAACAAGGAAACCCTTATTGTTTTTAAGGAGGGGAAAAAAAGGAAGGTATAAGATTTCCCCACTCCCCTCCCCCCACTGCTTTCCTTCTTCTTTGCATGTATTTGGAACATGTTTAAACTTTAATGATTATTAATTTTAAAATGGAAATATTAAATTAATTATGTCTAGATTATCTAGCTCAAAACTCAGCATGTGTTAATTAAACTTTTTTTTTTTTAAAGGGAGGCACTCCTTTGTGAGCAGAAGGATTTCGGGTGATAACTGGCATGTCTCTAGCTAGAGTTGATTGCCCATAACTGCACAGCTGGGGAAGAACCACCTGCCTCCTGTCATAGGCCACAGGCTGCACCCTCAGGACCTTTTCTAAATGCACACTGTGGTGGCACCTAGCAACCCACACTACTGCAGTTCAGCCAAAGCTTGGGGAGGAGTTCTTGCAAAGTTGGAATTTTATGGAACTTTATGGAGTTTTTTTCCAAGTAAGGCCTCAGCCAGATGGCCCACCAAATCCTCAGTGAAAAACCCAAGCTTCCTCTGACACCCAAAGAGTCCATCAGGCACCTTAGATGGCTGAGTTAAAAACCCTGTCTCCCTGACCTCCGGTGATGACGGCCGTGGCGATGGCGGCTTTCTTCAGCCGTCCGCCCTGGGATGTGTCAAAGCCAGCTGAGACAGCGAGCAACAGCTGTCTCGCGGCTTGGAGCCTCTCTCCCCGGGCAAAGGGGAGGAGGTGAGCTTTCCTCAGATAGCGGTAGAGCTCCTAAGGCCCCAACATTTTCTTTTTTGGTGGTCAGAGGGTGAGAGCTCCCACGGAGTCTGGGGTGTTCTCCACATTCCAGGATGCCTTTGCCCTGATTTTTCCAGGGCAAAGCTAGACGCTGCTTCCACATCTGCGCTTAAAATGAACTTGTGAGTAAATTTTAAAGCAGACAGAGCTGACCAGGAGAGACTAAAATGGGGATTATTTCGGACTTTAACTCTGGAAAAGAACTTATCTTCTCCTTCTTTTAATTAAGAGTGGTGAAAAATGGTGCTGAGGTGTTGATTCATTGAGTGAAAGGACCAGAACTTCTACCTGGAACAATGTAACAGATTTTGTATTTGTATAAATTGCAAGAATCTTCTTTTTTTCTTTTAAGGGGGCTTTTGTCTTTTTTCCCCTTCTCCTTTTTTCTTTTTTTTGGGGTGGGGGGTATTTGTTGATTTTATAAGATTTTAGCAGACTTTTTATAAGTGGTCTTAACCTTGGAAATTTTGCTGATCAAAATTCGTGAATCACCTAATATAAAAGGAATAGAAATCAATAAAAATGATTATAAATTAAGGGCCTTCACAGATGATTTGGTTGTTACTTTGTCTCAACCAACTTATTCTGTAATGGAGTTTTTACAATTGATAAATCAGTTTGGACAAGTTTCAGATTTCAAGATCAATAATAATAAGACTAAAATATTGTCAAAAAACATGACCAACTTGGATAAGGAGATTTTAGTTAGACTGACAGGTTTCGAGGTTGTTAATAAGGTAAAATATTTGGGGGTTATCTTATCTGCTTCCAATGCAAAACTGTATAAAAATAATTATGAAAGGCTGTGGTTTAAAATACAAAAGGATTTAGAGAATTGGAAAAAGCTGCAATTGTCTCTATTGGGGAGAATAGCAGCGATTAAAATGAATGTCTTGCCAAAGTTTCTTTTTCTATTTCAAATGATACCTATTTTAAAGAAAGAAGCAAACCTAGATGAATGGCAGAAAGGTATCAATAAATTTATCTGGGCAGGGAAAAAACCAAGAGTAAAACTTAAAATTATACAAGATATACGAGAGAGAGGTGGACTCAAGGTACCGAATTTGAAATTGTATTATGATGCTGTGGTTTTAACATTAATTAGTGATTGGGTTAATTTAACAAATGTAGATATACTCCTTTTGGAGGGGTGGGATTTATTATTTGGATGGCATGCCTATTTAATTTATAATAAAAAAGTTGATAGGGTTTTTAAGTATCATATTTTAAGAACTTCTTTACTTCGGGTTTGGAAGAAATATTATAGAATTGATTCAAGAATTCCATTATGGGCTATTCCATGGCATGCAATAGAAGGAATACAGAAAGGAGTTAAGATGGATAGTATTTCTTATATACAATTACTTAAGTGGGATGGTAAAAATTGGCAATTAAAATCTATAGATGAATTAGCACAAGAAAATATTAACTATTCATGGTTTCAGTATAGACAATTATTGGAAAGGTGGAACATAGATTATAAAGTGGGTTTGCTTAGAGAGGATGAGAACTTGCTAAAACAAATTAGAGATCAAAGTCGAACCCACATAAAAAGAATTTATGGTGTATTAGTGGAATTGGATTCAGAAGCAGAATTAGTTAAAGATTGTATGGTTAGATGGGCTCAAAATTTTGATGAACCGATTTTATTAGATACATGGGAGACTATTTGGGTGAGGAATGTTAAATTTACACAAGCGCAAAATTTACGGGAAAATTTCTATAAAATGTTTTATAGATGGCACCTTGGTCCACAAAAAATGTCTCGTATGTATTCAAATTTGCAGCCTAAATGTTGGAGATGTGGTTGCTTGGATGCAACGTATTATCATATCTGGTGGTCATGTAAAAGCATAAAAGCCTTTTGGATCAAGATATGGTGGAATATTCAAAGAATTTTCAAAAGAAGGATAAAATTTACCCCAAATTGTTTTTGTTGGGTATTGTTTCTGATTGTGATGACAAAGAGATTATTTTAATGTTAAACTTAATTACAGCTGCAAGGTTGTTAATAGGGCAATATTGGAAGAAGGAATCTTTGCCTACTTTGCAGGAATGGTTTTTTAAAGTTTCTTACTTAGCTGAATTGGCAAAAATTTCGGCTTTTTTGAAAGATCAATCGCAAGAGAAGTACCTCTTGGTGTGGAAAAGATGGATAAATTTTATACAATATAAGTATGACATAAGAAAATATCATTTAGCTTTTGAATAACTTATATTTAAAGTTTAAGATATTATTTAGAAGTGTAGAATAGTTTTGTTTTTTTATTATTTTTTTATTTTTTTTCTTTTCTTCTTTTTCTCTTTCTGTTTTTTATATATAATGGAGTTAAAGTATTTAATAATTTGTTTATTGAATGTAATTATATTTGTTTGAGGTTTATTTGGGTTTAAAAGTTTTTTTCTTTTAAGTTCTAGTTAACCCTGTATTCAGCTCTGGGAAGAATGGGGGAGGGTTTTGGGGTGGGTTGGGAGGGATTGGGGAAGGGTTTTTTATTGTAAAATTGTAAAAATTTATAATAAAAAAAATAAAATAAAATGGCTTCAAAGCGTCTCAGAGCTTCTGTTGCTTCTAAAGCCTCAATCTTCCCGGTAATGCAGACAGCTCAGCAAGCTAAGTCTAAGTTTCCACCACCCTCTCCATTGTCTCCAGCATGTATACTTAAAGATTTACAGGATGCCTTGGAAAAAAAGGCACGACAGGTTAAAGAAGAGATGGAGGTTTTTATTGAAAATAAATTCATGAAATTGTCAGAGGACATAGTGTTTCCGTTTCAAAAGTTTGTTGGTCACATAGATCTTCTGGATGAGTGTATTGATGATGTTGTGGAAAATTTTGAAAAACTGGAAGATCGAATTGACAAAGTGGAAAATAATGTGGAAATAATACAGGATGAAGTTACTATGTTACAATACAAAAACATGGAATTTGCTTTAAGAATAAGGGGAATGAAGGAAAATATTCAAGAGGATTTGGGACAAGTGGTGGTAAAAGATATAGCTCTTATTTTGGGGGCTGAGCCTGAAGAAATATTGAGAGAGACGGAAAAAGTTTTTAGGGTTAATTCTAGGCTTGCGAGACAAAGGAATTTGCCACGAGACGTGGTTATCTATTTTTCTAGGAGATCACTTCATAATGAAATTTTACAGCCATTTTATAAGCAGAGATTTCAAATTGCTCAAGATGTTATAATTTTAAAAGAAATACCTTCAAAAATTCTTAGAAAAAGAAAGGATTTTGCTTTTTTGGTTGATGAGCTCAAAAAACGCCAGGTTCGATTCAAATGGGATATATCGGTTGGAATAGTCCTGAAGCATGCGGGGATATATTATAGACTTAATACAATGTCAAAGGCGAAAGATTTTTACATTTCGGTTTTGAAGGTGGGTTCTCCATTATCTTTACGACCTGAGATAATAGAAGAAAAATTGGAAGAGCAGCTGGTTGAAAGTGCTATGCTATTGGATGTGGGAGACAAACAGGCTGAACCTTTGCAGCAGTCTCTTGATACAGAAGATTTTTTAAAGGAACCGAGAATGACTCATGCAGCCTATAGACGTAAATTAAAAGAACTGCAGAAGATGGATGTTGGAATAAAGAAAAGGAAATGATGAACTTTTGCAGTAGTTTTTTGAGATAGAAGATGTTTTAAAGGAAAAGTGAATGATTTGTATTTAGTATGTTTTAAAGGTACAGTGAATGATTTGTGTAGTAAGTACCGTAAATGCCGGCGTACAAGGCGACCCGGCATATAAGACGACCCCCGTCTTTATAGCCGGGCCGCATTCCTAGAACGTCATCTTATACGCTGGAAACTACCAGTATTTCCAGCATATAAGACGACTCGGCGTATAAGACGACCCCCGTCTTTGGCGCCGATTTCAGCGCTCGCGGAAGTTGCCTAATACACCGGCATTTATGGTAGATGTAAAGTAAAAGAATAATAGAAGGTGTTGATTTAGTGCAGTGGTTCTCAACCTGTGGGTCGGGACCCCATTTGGGGTCAAACAACCATTTCACGGGGGTCGCCAAACCACACTGTCCGCCATTTTTTCCCTTTTCCCTAGCTGTCCTACTCCTTCTTATTGGTGGCCACACCCACTTGGGGGTCACCACAACATGGGGAACTGTATTATGGGGTCACGGCATTAGAAAGTTGAGAACCACTGATTTAGTGGAAAAGTTTAAATATTTGGGAATATATATATTATAAATTCTTAATTTAAAGTGAAAAATAATTATGAGATATTATGGGTAAATGTGTAAAAGAATTCAAAATTTTAATGATCTCTGTTGGTGAGAATTTTAGAAGATGAATGGTTTGCTGAAACTTTTTAAGTAGGAGGGTATTAATAGACTTTCTTAGGGGTAAAAAGCGAAGAGCCAATTTTATCGAACATAAGTTTGTTGGTTAGGTTATATTGGAGGGAAAATTTTGTGTTTATTATGGACGAATGGTTGTTTAAAAGAAATATACACCTCAGCGAGGTGAAGATGGATAAATTATATGTAGAGTAAATATGGGTTATGATATGGGTTTAAAATGCATTATGCAGATTATGAATTATTTATAGGTTTTAATTTGGAAATGCTTATATTGTTATTTTTTTTCCTTTTTTGTATTTGAGTTAAAGTATATTATCGATTTTATTATTTGTATAGTTGGATAAGTTTATTTAGAATTTGTTTGTTTATTTGTAACCCTGTAACCAGCTCTGGGAAGTGAGGAGGGGATGGAGGGAGGGGGTTATTTTAGGGGGGGATATTGTTTAAAACTTATATAAAACTTTTCAATTAAAAAAAAACCCTGTCTCCCTGTGAGGTGGGGTGACATCTAGCAAACCAGAAAGTATCTAGAGAATGATTTTGTTAGAGAATTTTAATTTCTCTATTGGTAAAAAATAAATCAGAAGCTCTCACAGTTGGCTGCATTTAGCTGATTCAAATAACTTTATATTTATATAAAAATATTTACAATACCATTCTTCTTTACAGCAACATAGCTTAATTGAAGACTTCTTACAGAGACAAACCAGAGACAAAACCTTGAGACTGGAAATCCAGCTCCTAACTCAATACTCTTTTGCACAGACTCAGTAGCACTTTCCTCACATTGGCTGACTAAGTTACCACATGACTCTTCCTGTTCATGAATATTCCAACACTCCTCCCTTCATGACAGGAAGAGACATCAGACCTATTAACTTAATACATTCTTTAATCGTGAAAAACCTTGAGCCACTAACCTGACTTTATACTGTACATCATTATTTGGCAATACCTTTTTCTTATATACCCACTTACAACCCACAGCTTTGGTTCCCCTGTGGCAAAGTCACTGATTTAAATACTTCATGGTCTCCCATGGATTTCATCTCTTTATCCACGGCCTCCTTCCATCTTTCTTGTTCAGCTTTTGGTAATGCCGACACCTCTTTATAACTTCTTGGCTCATACCACACATTGCAAATCTTTACCTTGCTGGCAGAATACCTGTCAGGCAGAATTCCTTTCTTACATCGCTCTGACCTACGTGGTATTAACTGCTCCTGTGCCTCAAGTCTTTCTGGCTTCATGTCTTGTTCAGCCTCTCCTCCCTGAACATTGACATCTTCTATAATCACTTTTTTATCATTAGATGAGTTATTGTCACTACACAGATCACCGTCATTAAGTGAGACATACCCAGAATTTGCATTAATTCTGTCCCAATTTTCTTCTGCAAAATTAGCAGACCTTGAAATTATAATTCTTTTACTTCCATCGCTAAAGCGATATCCTTTTGACCCTGGCTCATAGCCCACAAACCTGAGCTTTCTTGCCTTTTGCTGTCCCTTTCTTCTGATTGCTTTTGGAATATGTACCCATGCAGTACTTCCAAAAATTCTCAAATGTGCCAGTGATGGCTTTCTCCCATATAGAATGGCATATGGAGTATTATTAATGGAGGAACTCCACAGCCTGTTAACTATATAATTGGCAGTCAATATGGCTTCTCCCCAATATGACCTGCTCAAACCAGAATCCTCCAATAATGAATCTTTCATTGTTTGCAAAACACCATTCCTTCTTTCAACTACACCGTTCTCTGCTGCTGAGTAAGGATTTGTATGTCTGTGTCTTATCCCCAACTGCCCCAACCATTGTTGGAATTTAGTTGACATAAATTCAGTACCTCTGTCAGTTTGCAACTGACACACTTGTTGTCTGTACCTTCTCTCTACAAAACTTACCCACTGTTTGAATTGTTGTAGCACCTCTGTCTTTGCTCTAAGCAAATAGCAAAATGAATACCTGCTATAATCATCAACAATTACCAGTGCATATTTTGCTCCTCCCAAACTGGCTTGCATAGGTCCCACCAGATCTGCATGGACCAGCTCTAGAACTCTTTTTGTTTGTCTTGTGCTACATTTACTAACTGGGAATGCCTTTGACTTTGATGCTTTGCATACTGCACAGTCCAAATTTGTTTTGCATCCCTTTAAATTTAGCCCTTCTGCAAAATCTTGCATTTGCTGCAAAACTTTAAAGCTTGCATGGCCAAGTCTTCTATGTAGAAGATGAACACATGAATCATGCTCTGCAACATTCTTAAATATATGGGAACATTGAACCTTTTCTCTCTGCAATAAATATAGATTATCTTCCTTTATGCCTTCTGCACAAATATTCCCATTCCTTTTGATGAGACATTTCCCATTTACAAAAATGACCTCAAAACCTTGTTTGTCTAAATTAGACACACTTAACAAATTATGTTCCATCTCAGGTACACAAAGCACGTTAGTAAACTTGGATTCCAAATATGGAATTTTTACATCGCCTCTTCCAATGACTTTTGCTTTCTGGCCATTTGCCAAAGCCACAGCTTCTTTTGCTACTGGAACAAACCTGCAAAATAATTCAGAGTCATTAACAATTGTTTGACTTGCCCCACTATCAATTAGCCACTTGTCTCTGTTGTTGCTATTGCAAACTTTTGCAACACCAAAATGTTCCTTTTGCAAAGCAGTCCTTTTTGCATGCACAAATGTCCTTTGCTGCAAATTGTTCCTTTGCAAACAGTTCCTTTGCAAATGTGTCTTTTTTCCACAAATGTAGCAAGTCTTTTCCCGCTCTCTGCTTGCTCTCTGCTTGCAAAATCTCTCCTTTGTTGCAATTTGGTCCGGGTCTGATCTGCTTGTTTCTTCTCTGGAGACGTGCAGTCTGGACCCCCTCCTCAGGAATTTCTCCTCCTCGTGGCTGCTTCTAAAATGGCGTTTTTCCTCTTCATTAAGCAAACATGCCTTCAAAGCCTCAAACTTTAAGTCTTGTTCTTCTTTGCATTCAAATATTGCAGAAACTGTGTCCCAGGTTTTATCTAAACTGTTCAACACCAATAAAACCTTCTGGGGCTCAGGGAATTTAATCCCACGTTGTTCTAAGTCCAAAAATAAACTTTGCATTTTATTTAAATGCTGTTCCACAGATTCACCTGGTTGCAAACAGGCCCTGTAAAGTTTTCTTGACAATTGCACTTTGTTGCAAGCAGAAACATTCATGTGTACAGCTCTCAACTTCAACCATATCCCCTTTGTAGTCTTTAAATTTGCAACATTTAGAAATTGTGCATCATCTAAATTCAAGATAAGATAAGCCATTGCTCTATCATGGCTTTTCTGATCTGCAGCTGCAAATACTTGTGGTGGATTTTCAACAATATACCACAGCTCTTTAGCTTTCAGCAAACATTCCATTTTTGCAGCCCACACAATGTAATTCTTCTGGCCTAAACGAGGCACACAGCTTTCCTTAAATTCCATTGCAGCCATTCTGCTAATTCTGCCTTGTTCTTATACTTTCTAAACACAGGCAATTTCTTCCAGCTTTAAATAACAATGCAATCCTTAGTAAGCTCTGGGCCCATAACCTGTTAGAGAATTTTAATTTCTCTATTGGTAAAAAATAAATCAGAAGCTCTCACAGTTGACTGCATTTAGCTGATTCAAATAACTTTATATTTATATAAAAATATTTACAATACCATTCTTCTTTACAGCAACATAGCTTAATTGAAGACTTCTTATAGAGACAAACCAGAGACAAAACCTTGAGACTGGAAATCCAGCTCCTAACTCAATACTCTTTTGCACAGACTCAGTAGCACTTTCCTCACATTGGCTAACCGAGTTACCACATGACTCTTCCTGTTCATGAATATTCCAACAGATTTCACCATGGCAATGGAATGAATGTGATGTTCTCCAAAACTAGTTATGTTACAACTGCCACAAGACAAAAATTAGTGTCTAGTCCCTGGTATACATTGGGTGTAGTGATTTGGGACAAGTCCATGGTTGCCATGATGGCCATAAACTCCTGGACTATCTTAGACTCATGGCTACCAGATGTGAAGTTGAAATATCCATGAACCAACAGTCTCAGGGTCTCTATTATCAACTCAACAACAGATCCAGAAGCTCAAGCAGACATGATGCCAATCAACAGGAAATATACCAGCAGCAACCAGCAGAGTCCAAATTCAAATAAAGGATCTCACATCCAGTTGGCATCACTGGCCTCCAAATCCACAATATAACTTGCAGATGACAACTGCCAATAGGAGGTTCTTCTTAATTTCCCCATAAAATGTTATCAGAAAAGAGGTAAGAGTAATTATTTTTATTTCCCATAAAAAGTGTTCTCCACAATCATTGTATTTGTATTCCACATCAGTTTCAAGATTGCCTTTAAAAGTAATAACTATTCGGTATGCTTTATTTGAGTATTTACTATCATAGGTCAGCCAATCCAATTCCTAGCCTTAAAAGGAGCAATTTGTAGGATAGAACATGTGCCATGAAGGAAGAAAAGTGGGAAGGGGGAAATGGAGGGACAGGAGGGGGGAAGGAAGGAAGGAAGGAAGGAAGGAAGGATGGAGAAAGAAAAAAGAAAGAAAAGAAAAGAAAGAAAAAAAGAAAGAAAGAAAGAAAGAAAGAAAGAAAGAAAGAAAGAAAGAAAGAAAGAGAGTTGTCACTTATCATGATCTTGACTCCTTTCCTTGTCTTAATTATTGAACACAAGTGTCCACTGAACGATTAACAGCTCGTATAAGGAGGGATTGATTCTTATTTTGGGATATCATAAACAGAGACATTATATCCATGTCTTTGGTGTCCCCATCCAGAGAGAAGGTGAAGTTCTGGAGCAAAGTGCTGAAGAACAGGAAGAGCTCCATCTTAGCCAGAGCCTCTCCTGGACAGGCCCTCTTCCCTGAAATTGCAAACAAGAAAACAAAGCTTATTCAAAGCTGATTAAAGAATAACATGGATCAGGCATGCATATGAATTGGTAATACTATCTGTCCCAGAGGACTGTACCTGCTGAGAATGGCATGAAAGCATCTCTTTTCCTGAATTGGCCCTTTTCATTCAAAAAATGATCTGGGTTGAACTTCTCTGGAGTCTCCCAATGGAGAAGATCACGGTGTACTGAGGAGAGGACTGGCACAATAGCCATGTACTAGAAGAAGGAGGTAAAGAAACAGATGACATTAATTGGTGCTACTTCATCCAGAGAATAAAGAGCCTCACTTGTGTCAAATAAAATAGGCCAGCAGGGAGCAATCTGCAAACATTCTGAAATGCAATGAAGGGAGAGAGATTTGATTTAATTAATTAATTTATTAAATTTGTATACTTCCCATATCCAAAATGACTCTAGGCAATTCACAATGCCATAAATAATACATATTAATTCATACTTATTCAAACTGCCTTGAATATGAAGGATCTTTGACTATATAACAGTGAGTGCTTTTTTGTAAAAAACAAAAAGGTGGTGGAACTCACACAGGTCATACAACCTGCCTTGCCTATCCTACAAGGTTTACCTTTGTAGTTGAAAAAAACCCTTCAGTTTTTAGTGTATCTAAAAGACTGGGATTTTATTCAAGGTAAGTTAATAATATTAATGTTACCATGCACAAATCCGTTGAAAAAGGGTGCTGGAAATCCATTCTAGTGTGTTCTATGACCAAAAAAGCCCTCATAACAATCATCTATTTTTTTTCCTCTGCAGAATATCTTTATCAGTAATTATTATTGCCACACCTTGGGAATGTTGTAACCATGGAACTTTACATCACAAGTTGTTGCCCGTGGAAAGTTTTCAAGGCTCTCAGGCCCATAACGTTGAACCTCATGGACCACAGCATTTGTGAAAGGCATATTCAACCGGTCTTCCATGCTTGGAGTGCGATTTGTACCCACTACCTCATCAATCTCTTGTTGAACCTTAGCTGTGAGAAAAATATATTGAGATGAAATTAACAATCTTTTCCTGTATTGTACTGAGCACCTTCAGTCAGCTACCACTTGAATAGAAACATGTTTTCCAAAGCACGTTCAGAGATGATACTTCCAGTCAGGAAAATGGCTCTTCCTCAAAGTCATTTCTCAGTGGAGACCATTTCAATTTTTCTAGTGCAAGAAGACTATGTTATGGTTGAAATTATGAAAGCTGGTGATCACAGCTTACACAAGATACTAGCAAAGCTGTACTTGAGTTAGTAATAGTAATAGTAATAGTAGTAAAGTTGGAAGGGACCTTGGAGGTCATCTAGTCCAACCCCCTGCTCAGGCAGGAAACCCTACACCATTTCGGACAAATGGCTGTCCAGTCTCTTCTTAAAAACTTCCAGTGTTGGAGCATTTACTGCTTCTGGAGGCAGGCTGTTCCACTGATTAATTGTTCTCACTGTCAGGAAGTTTCTCCTTAGTTCTAGGTTGCTTCTCTCCTTGATTAGTTTCCACCCGTTGCTTCTTGTCCTGCCTTCAGGTGCTTTGGAAAATAGCTTAATTCCCTCTTCTTTATGGCAGCCCCTGAGATATTGGAATACTGCTATCATGTCCCCCCTTGTCCTTCTCTTCGTTAAACTAGACATACCCAATTCTAGCAACCGTTCCTTATATGTTTTAGCCTCCAGTCCCCTAATCATCTTTGTTGCTCTTCTCTGTACTCTTTCTAGAGTCTCAACATCTTTTTTACATCGTGGTGACCAAAACTGGATGCAGTATTCCAAGTGTGGCCTTACCAAGGCATTGAAGAGTGGTATTAATACTTCACGTGATCTTGATTCTATCCCTCTGTTAATGCAGCCTAGCACTGTGTTGGCCTTTTTGGCAGCTGCAGCACACTGCTGGCTCATATTTAAGTGATTGTCTACTAGGACTCCGAGGTCCCTCTCACAGTTACTACTATTGAGCATGGTGCCACCTATGCTGTACTTGTGCATTTGGTTTTTCTTGCCTAAATGTAGAACCTTGCTTTTTTCACCATTGAATTTCATTTTGTTAGTTAGTGCCCAGTGTTCAAGTCTGTCCAGATCCTTCTTTATATTAAGCCTGTCTTCTGGAGTGTTGGCTATTCCTGCCACCTTGGTGTGATGAGTTCCCCATCTATCCCTTCATCCAAATCATTGATGAAGATGTTGAAGAGCACTGGGCCCAGAGCAGAGCCCTGGGGCATCCCACTACACACTTCCCTCCATATAGAGGCAGTTCCATTGAGGACGACTCGCTGAATACGGCCGGTCAGCCAGCTACGGATCCATCTGGTGGTGATTCTGTCTACCCCACATTTTTCTATCTTATCAAGTAGTAGGTTGTGATCTATTTTATCAAATGCCTTACTGAAGTCCAAGTAAATTATGTCCACAACATTCCACTGATTTTGTCACTTGGTCAAAGAATGCAATAGGATTTGTCTGGCATGATCTATTTTTGACAAACCCATGTTGGCTTTTAGTAATGACTTTGTTTGCCTCTAGGTGTTCGTTGATTCGTTGTTTGATTATCTTTTCCAGGATCTTCCCAGGTATTGAGGTCAGGCTGATAGGTCTGTAATTTCCTGGATTCATTTTTTTCCCCTGTTTTGAGGATGGGAACTACATCAGCTCTTTTCCAGTCCTCTGGTAGTTACCCTGTGTTCCAGGATCTTTGAAAAATATAGTTCAGTGGTTCCAATATCACATCTGCCAGTTCCTTGAGAACTCTGGGGTGTAATCCATCTGGTCTTGAGTTGCCTCAGAAAAGAAAAAATAACCGATGAATGGAAAAATGCTGAAGTGATTCTTATACACAGGAAAAGGGCCCAATATGATTTAAAGAACTATTGCCCAATAAGCCTCCTTTCCCACAATGACAAGGTTTTCACCAAGATAATAGCAAAAAGAATATTGAGAACATTAAATGATGCACAGCTAAAGGAGCATGCAGGGTTCAGAAGTGGTTACAGCACAATAGATCACATCCAAGTTGTTCATCAAGTCATTGAAAGGTACAACAAATACACCATGCCTCTGTGCATGGCTTTCATTGACTACAATTTCATTGACTACAACTCCAGCAAGCAATAATTAGGGCATTGCTCAACCAAGGCATAGATACTTCTTACATAAACATACTACAATCAATATATGAAAACCAATGGCAGCAATTTGCCTTAATGATCTTAAAGTGGAAATCAACATAGAACAAGGTGTACGACAAGACAATACAATATCCCTATTCTTTTCTCAGTCTGCCTTTAAGAAGTATTTTGCAAACTAGACTGGGCAAAAAATGGAATAAAAATCACTGGCGCTTATTTAAATCACTTAAGATTTGCAAATGATATTGTTCTCTTCTCCCAAGATCCAGAAGAGCTACAAATAGACATATGAGAGCTGCACAAAGCAGGAGAACCATTTGGCTTAAAAATAAACCTGAAAAAGAGCCAGGTTATGTTTAATAAATTCACCAAAGAAAGAAAAAAAATATATTTGAAGAAGAACTAGATATAGTAGACCACTGCATATACTTTGGCCAATGGATGTCAATGGAAGGTGATACAATAAAGGAAATTGATCGACACGTTAAATGTGGTTGGTAGGCACTCAGCAAGCTAAGTATAATTTTTAAGAACAACTTCCCCCTATGCCTGAAGAGAAAAAGTTTTTGATCAGTGTGTACTACCTGCTCTAACATATGCCAGTGAAACATGAACACTAACCTCACAATCGATACAAAAGCTACAAGTGGCATAAAGAGCCATAGAAAGATACATGCTCAGCATTACAAGACAAGATAGAAAGACCTGCATGTGGATTAGAGTACAAACGAAAGTATATGATATCTTCAAGAAGAGTAAAAGAACTGAAATGGAAATAGGCCAGTCACATAGCAAGAAGAACTGATGGCAGGAGGACCAAGGCAGTCATAGAATGAATCCCACTCGATAAAAAGTGTCCACGAAACAGACCTAAAACAAGATGGATCGACAACATCAGCAAGTTTTGTGGGCCCAATTGGCAGGACTGTATGGGTCTTTGACTATAATAAACTTGAACTTGAACTTCATCACGCAATGGATAGAGAATGGTAAAAATGATGATGAGAATGAATATTATGTGCCAGCAGAGTACAAACAATTTATTCCCTCAAAAACCTCAAGGTTCATTTCCAAAGAAAGAATGCTTCAGGATACAGCTGCCAGTCAATTTTGCGGGGGTATTGTAGATTAAGATTTATAATATTGTCACTGCTTATAGCAGTATGGTTCAAATGTTAAGGATGATATCTTGAGTTAAAAGGATGTGGGTTTATACTGATACAAAAATGATTCTTAAGAAAAGCTATACCATATTAAATTAATCATTCATACTAGGACTCCTTAAAGCAAGTACTCAATTAATTAATTGATCTGCCTTAAGGCTGTATGAAGGAAAAGACTGCTGCTGTTAAAGCGTTCAATCACATCTTGCCTCTTCATGATCTAATGCAGTGGTCCCCAACCTCTCTGGCTCCATGGACCGACAGCAGTAGTGGCGGCAGGAGGGAGGGTTTGGTTTTGCATGTGCAACTTAACTCCCATGCATGCTCAAATGAAGCCTCAAGAACTCGCCTCCTGCTTGCATGGCCTGATTCCCAACAATTCTGGTCCAAGGAGACAGGATTGGGGACCCTTGATCGAGTGGATATTATTTTACTAGAACTGTCTTTGTGTAATCTCAGGATTCGATGGAAGCCCTATTGTTCCAAGGGCATGTTATTTAAACTGGGAAATAAACAAAACAAAACATTCTGTAAGAAGATCTTGGCAAACACTTCCCAAAACCTGCCAGGACAACTGCAGAAATACAGCTGCAATGAGTTTACTTTACTCAACAGCATCCTTACTTTATTTTTTTCCAGGATTATTAATGGAAGTCCTAAAGCAGGGGTCTTCAAACCTGGTCCTTTTATGATTTGTGGACGTCAGCTCCCAGAATTCCTCAGCTAGAGTGCTTGGCTGAGGAATTCTGGGAGTTGAAGTCCACAAGTCACAAAAGGGCCATGTTTGAAGAGCCCTGCCCTAAAGTGTTGACACCTTTATATATTTTGGTTATTTCTGTACCTTGAATGTGTGGCAATTTAGCCATTGCTAGGAGGCTGCGTAGCAAAGTTTGGCTTGTGGTTATTGTCCCAGCAGTAAAGAGAGCAAGCACAGTAATCACAAGATCTTCAAGAGTGTAGATTCCCTCAGATGAGTTCTGCTCCTGAAAAAAAAATAGAAAGGGAAACAGAAGGATGAAAATGGGATTGATTTAAAGTAATTTATGAAACTCTTCATAGTGTTTCTTTCAGTTAAAGGAAACTTAACTGACTAACTTTAGAATATATAGGAGAATTTTTCAATTGTAAAGCATTTATGCAATCACCATTTGATGCAGAGAGGAAACAATTTGCCTGTCTGACCTACCTATCAAATATTTACCACAAGAAATTACGAGAATTAAAGGTTGTTATTTAGAGCTGGACAAAAGCAACTCTTAAGCTGTATGGTGGGAAAACTGGATTAGATCTGAGCATAGAAGCTTGAATGTTACATCTGAGAGACTAATTCTAATAGAAATTGCTCCTGCAAGATGAATTATTATCTTTATATCACCTATTAAGAGTGTAGAAGAGGTGTAAATTAGCATGTAAAGCAAATGTCTATACTTATTCATTTTTAATTATGTCGGGCATAGGAGTACATGTTAATAAATGGCAAATTGAAGTAATAAAAAGGGGGATAAATATTTTCATATTCTTTCATACAAGATGAACTAGTTTCATCTTAGATACATATTGGAGATATTTAGACAGTTATGCAGAGATGGTATCTATGCCTACCTTCTCCATTCTGTGAAGGAAGCAATCAATATAGTCACGCAGGTTCTGGGGATCCAATGTCTTCTTGTGCAATTCCACTTTCTCACGGATATAATCATAGACTTTTTCAGTCTCAGACTCGATATGTCGTCCCAAAAAGTATTCCATTGTTTTTGGAAAAGTATTGTACACCTGTTGCAGAGTTGATGTTAAACAGTATATGTTTTTAGACCATAATGGTGAAGGCTTAATGCCCCAAATATTCAGAGATTAGCTTTTAGTCTGATATTGTTAATTATCAAACCTCAGCTAGGTGCCAAAACCAAGGAGACAAGTTCCACAAGAATTTCAGTAAGCTATCTTTAATTTTAGTGTTGAGTAAATACAGTGTCTTAGGAACGACTGCATGGTAGGAATTTTTATTTATAATAAGTTGGTTAAAAAGGAATCTCTTTGACAAGCCTTTTCCCCAGATCTTTCCTCACCTAGCCTGAGTTCCCTGCAGGATATATTCTGTCAAGCCTCACCCCAGCTATCCCATGAAGGGATAATGATGAAAATGATGACAGTTCTTGAAGCAGGGAGGAAAGAGGGACATAAGAATAGGGGAAATGTCTAAAAATGCCATGAGAAGAAGAGAGGTGCCTGTGCATAATTTGATATGATGATTATCAAATTATATATAGTTAAATATGTAGCATTGTACTTTTAAAAACTATTATAATAATATACCTTTCAGTTTGATCACAATATTGATATTCCTCTTATATCACAAACCTAATAGCTCAGGGGATAATGCTATTGTCATTTCTTAGAACAACATGGAAATAAGTTTGAGAATTAAAGTTAAATTTTCAGTCAAGGGATGAAAAAATTAAGTGAAACATTACAATTAGGAGGAATCAGCCCCTCCAGTGAAATTCCATGTTTGGCTCTCCCTGACTAATTAAGAAATGGGCAAGTCCGAGAAATAAGCAGGTCAGGGCCCTCAGCAGTTACGAGAGAATGAAATGATCCCGTGGGAAATAAGCCCAGCCAGGAAAGAAGGTTTGCTGAGAACCAATTTATATTTTGATGGCTCAGTCTTGTTGCATGTCTGGATTTGACTTCTCCTGCTTATCTACAGTAATCTCTACATCTACAGCAATCTCCACATCCCTTATTTGGATATTCAAACACACAGAGAGGCCCACTAGTAAAAATGAGTGTTTATAGCAGGAAGAGCATCAGAGAGGAAAAACATACCAGTCCTAGGAAACCAGTCAGAAATCTTGCTTGAGACTCCACAATCTGCTGGTTCTCTATGAAGGTTTGATCATTGTAATCAAATCGATTGCCAAAGACAACTGCACAGATCACATTAGAAACAGCACTTGCCAAATTTCTTCTTGGGTCAAAAGGCTGCCCTGCAACAAAGGCCACAGACATTTATGGGAGGGATCAAAGAATGGGGATTTTCCCTTCCACAATTCTCGACACAGAACTTCAACAAAAAAAATAGTTTGGGTCAAAGAAGTTATTCAAAAATTTTATTGGTATTTTTAAATAAAAAATATTAAATAGAAGAACCTAGATGTAATTAAATGAAAACACAAACCTTATAATCCCTAGAGGTTTTTTTGAAAACCTTCTTGCTGTCTTCTGTCAAGAATTGTTTTCTCACTCCTTTCTCTGCCCTTTTGTGCTCATGGTGGATTTTTCCCTCCCTGTCCCTTCCCTTAGAAGTTTCTATTTCCAGTTTTCACTCTCCTGACTGTCTCTCCCTCCACCTTCTAATTTCTTTCTTCTTTCTTTTTTAAAATATAATCCTATTATTTCATTTCTTTCCCCTTCTGATTCCAGAGATTTGTGCATTCATGATTATATTCAAAAGAGGCACAAATCTTTAGAGGAATACTATTTATGACTATATGTTTTCCTTTCTAGTTTTAGATTACCTATGTCATTCATCCATAACTTCTTTTTCTGGCTCTTGAATTTGCCTGATATATAATCATGTTCAAATAAATTGTTTAAAGAGTTTTTTTGGGCTTCTTTTCCCAGTTTTAACTGAGCACTCTATTCCCTCAGCACTGTCTCCTTCTAATCTATCCAGCTCTTTTTTGAAATAATAATAATAATAATAATAATAATAATAATAATAATAATAATAATATTCCATTCACATTTTTTTTCTATTCATTTTTTTAAATCGCCTTCCAGAAAAGACTTGTCCATGGAACATGATTTTCCAAGATGCTACATCTCCTGGAAAAAAAATAAATTTATATCTGTCAAGCACCAGGCAAATCAGGCGATCCAGGCAGTTGAAATGGGTATAAAGATTTATTGTAAGCTTAAGCTCTCTACAAGAATCTGAACTAATAATGGCCAAAGGAAATTAGCTGGATGTAGATCTCTTGTGGGCATGAAGGGACTCATGACTGATGATTTGTTTGATCCCTCCCTTGGGATCAGCCTGGTCATTTCCTACAATAGCCTTAATTCAAATCCACGCCACCTCACAGATCTCCATCACTCATGCAGTTGATTCTTATCCATATTTTCCTTACCTCATTTATTTTACACGCATATATATACCTATCTAAGTTTTTCTTTATTTTGTGCACTTAAGCACAGATGATTTGAGTTTCAGTTTAGAATCTAGTTTTCCTGTAACTTCACATAAAACAACAACCCCTTTCCAGTTTCATATTTTAAAAGATAATAGTCTTCCTGATATGATTCTTCTGTGGGAGAACAGGTCTCAGTTTCTTTAGACGACCTTTTGTGGCAGCCATTTCCTTCACCAGACAAAGAGCTTCCTCCTGCACCCTCTCAGACATTCTTTTCTTCCCCATCCCAAAATCTCGCAAGGTGGACAGTGTGAACCGTCGCAGCTCCCTCCATTTCTTCTCATCATTTGTAGATATTCCTGAAACAAAAGACACCAAAAGGATCATGATGTTGGTCAATTCTCAGCTTTTGTGGAAGAGCATGTTTCGATATAATATTTCAGGCACTTTTCTTTTTCAAATCTTTGTTTCAATCATAGGTGAAAGAGGCTACTACACTGCAATAAATTATGCATCAGAGAAATGTCCTTCCTCACATTTAAAGTAAACAAGGCTTGATGTTTGAAATACCAGTGAAGCAAACGTCACAGTTGCCATCTTTCCATTCTTGACTGCTGTCATAAGTGTGTTATAGATAGAAAGAAATCCCTACACTAGACATGGAACTCTATACTGAGATGCCGTTTTCAGTAAGCAGAAGAAAATTGGAGTCATTTTGAGTTGTGGATTTTATTTTATTATTATTATTTGCTGTAGAGGCTTTATTGACAAAAATAAATCACTTCCAATTATGTATGTACTAGCTTGCTTGATTGTGTGCTAACAAGTTACTCTCAACTCTTAGCTACCTTTAGATTTCCTCCAACACAATCTATCCCTAACCTAATTCTTCAGGACTTGTAAGGGTACATTTGTCATCATTTTAACTGAGTTCATTGACGTTGCAGATGGCCCTCCTTTTCCTTTTATCTTTCTCACCATTATACCCTCCTCTAGGGAGCGAGACCTTTGAACCATACTGTATGTCTGAAGAATGATAATTTCAGTCTGGTCATTTATGCATTCAATGGAAACTCTGACCTGATTTGCTCAATGAGCTATTTGTTTCTTATTTTTGGATGTCCACAATATTCTCAGAGATTTTGTCCAACATCAAAACCATATTCTTTCAATATTCTTTCTCTCCTGTTTATTCAAAGTCCAAATTGTCAAAGTATCCTCTTTGAAGAACATTTTGTCTGCCTTCCCAAAGGACCAGTTTAAAGGTGAGATTACTTTTTTTTTTTTTTTTGAATGTAAGGAACAACCAGAACAGATTTCAGAAGTGATCAGTGGAAGCGAAAGGGTGAAAAAAAGGTGTTCCTCCCTCTTCAAAAAACATGACCAGATCAACCTCTTTACAAAACTTCATTTCAAGTGAAACTTTCATAACTATCAATAATATTAAGAGCATTAAAATAATTTAAAATTACTTATAGAAAATTAAAAAGAGCTACAACGAATAAAGAAATAAAAGCGAATCAACCTTTATTTTGGAACACTCGTCTGTGAAAGGCCGTATTAGTTCGCCTACCAAATTCTTCTGCTTGATTTATCAAAGCATCTTTTACCACCTCATATCCACAAAGAGCAACCATTGGTTTTGATCCAATCCAGATAGTAAATATAGGTCCATACTTCTCTGTAAGCTAAAGGTAAAATTAGATGAAAACCCAGTTAATTAAACGATAAAGCATTTTTTGGTGAAATTATTCTAAAGCATGCTTGAAATATTTCTTAAATTCATAACAGAAATCATGTTGAATCTAACCTTTAATAATTCTTAGTATCTACAGGGTACATTAATTTGATTGGATAAATTGCATGTACTGTATCTCCTAGCTGGTGAGATGATGGGAATGAGATAATCACAATTTTGACTGTATAATACATTTCTGCAAGTAATCTGGTACTACAAAATATATGATAGCAAGTTTTGCTTGTAACCACATATTTTAATGAACTTTGTAACCTCCATTGTGTGTTTATCAGACTGTAACTAGGTGACTTTAAATTAAAATTCCTACTGAAGATGCACAAGAGCCCCTAATAAAATTGGACTCTTATAAAAGAAAATCAAACTCCTTAAACTAGGAAAATGTGGATATAACTTTCCAAATAATCACCTGAAAAAGCAAAGAAGTACAATAGTTACCTTTTTATAGGATTTTTTTAGAGGTAGTACATCTTGCTGAAAGAGGTTCCCCAGAATAGGCCATGGAGTAGGTCCAGGGGGCAGCTGCCCTTTTTTCTTGTACATTTGGAAAGATGAGAAAAGGGTGAAAAGTATACAGAGAAGAAGCAGAACTCCTGCCCATGTCAGCTCCATCCTCTCCTCAGTTGTTTTCCTCTTCAAAAATCCAAAAAGCTGTTTAAAGGAGACAACGTTGAAAGAAGGAGACCAATTGAATCCCCAATCACATCTAAATTCTTCACTTCCTCTAACCTTTACATACCTCCTTATTTACATTCAGCTCAAATTATTCTTTCACCTCTATTAGTATAGGAGAGTTACTTATCAACATTCTTATCTTTGGACTGTGGACCACTTTGGCTAAATCCTTAAATAAACAACTCATTTTAAGCACTCTCTCTTATTTGCTGACCATACAATAACTTGTGAAAGAGTAATTAACTTTTGCTACTGAACCCTGTGAAACTTACGTTTTTCTTTTTCTTTCACTGAGTTGTCACAGCCCTGAATTCAATATTATGATCATAAGTAAGTACAATGTTGTCATGACCTTTAACTGGGCAAAATGGTGCATCATGGGGCAATATTTTTTGTGAATGAAGGTGAATATACATGTCCCGGGATAACGTCACCTGTAGTCACATTCAATGTTTGCATGAGCCCATATTGTAATTGTTATGTCCTGGGCCTGCTGAGTGACTCAGCAGGTGTAGGAAGCTGCAGAGAGGCCCGGGCAGACCACATGAATGCCTGGGACCATACAGGCTGTCTCCAGCCTATTGCGCATGCGCAAGGTGGGAGAAATATGTTACATTGATTGGTTGACACTGTCCCTGAAAAGGGTTATAAAAGGAATCTGTGCCATTTTGTTTTGGTTCTGTTGGTGATTAAATAAAGAGAAGACTGTTGATACTCCTGCCTCATCTCAATGCCTTTACGATTGAAACAGAACAGTAATGACGGCCAAAAAGACTTTGTTACCTGTAATTGATCTGGCCACAGTGGCACATACCTTGATTCAAGGTTGACTCAGCCTTCCATCCTTCCGAGGTCGGTAAAATGAGGATCCAATCAATCTGTTTATTACAGCCATAAGGCCAGACATAATCAAAATATAACAATAGTGACAATTTTACTTCCATATTTATAGAATATAAAACCATCAAACAATCAATGTAATATAATCTGAAATTCTCAAAATAAAGCATCATATTAATTTTTTTCAGACCTTGATAACGGTGCGACGTATTGTGCAAATAGTGGCACAAAATTGGCCAACCTGAATTGATATTTTCGGATCCTTATCCAAAAGTAGCAACTTTAGATAAAATTCATATCCCCTTCCTGGAAACTTCTTCAATATTGGATATATAAGAATCTGTCTAGAGTATTTATATAAAGAACAATGAAGCAGCTTATGGCTTAGGGTTTCTATGGAGCCATCACCACATGGACACAACGAAGGTGCATAGGAATGCCCTTAAACCGTCCAAAAAGGACTGCCGAGGGCAACACATACAGCCCTGGCTAAGGTGAAAGCTTTACGAAATTTCAAAATTGTAATGGAAAATAGATAAGACGCTGGGGAGAATCCTTCTGGAAGCAAGTGACAAATATTGGAATGTGCCACCTTACTTAAGTTTGTTTGGAGATCAATATCCCAGATACATTGATTCAAGGCAGTTCTAGCATTATCAAATCCTAATGAACACAGACTTTCCATAGAGAAGCCCAGCGATTTAATTTTATCTAGTGCTTTTTTTTCCCACGACAATTTAAAATGACCTATAAATACTAACGGGGCTAACCCTACAGCCATCAAAATTAACTTTAGCCAAAAGGTAATAAGAAAGAACCATGCTCTAGCTTCCAATGAAACTAAACCTATTTCCACCTGTAGGATGGCATTTTTAACACTTTTAGGTACCATCAGTATGGCTCTAATAAACTTATGTTGAATAATTTCAATAGCATTAAGCTTTGCAAATGAACATATTTGCGAGCCATACAGGAGCTGAGGGAATGCCTTAGCTTGGAAAACCTTACAATCTGCCGGGATGTAGTAAGCTCCTTTAGAACAGCGGTTCTCAACCTGTGGGTTGTGACCCCACTTGGGGTCAAACGACCATTTCACGGGGGTCGCCAAACAACACAGTCCGCCATTTTTCCCCCTTTTCCTTAGCTGTGCTACTCCCTTTTATTCTATTGGCTTTGGAAAGCCAATAGAATAGACTCTCTTGAATAGAGTCTAATTCTATTGGCTTTCCAAAGCCAATAGGAATTGTCCAGGCTGTCTCTGCCCTGCTGAGCCCACCAAAAGTTCCATTCTGCAAACGGTGCTGCAAGTTGTCTGCAGCAAAGGCGAGCTGTCTGGAAGTTTCCACCTCTCCCTGCTGAGCAACTACTAAAAATGTAAGTAAAAGAGGGCCAAGGGTGAGAGGTGCGTGGGGCCCGGCGGGTGTCTAACCTCCCTTGGGCTGGGCCAGCTAGTGGCCCAGCCGGTGGTCTCCCTGCGCTGTCGCTGCCCCTTGCCAGCTATGCCTCGGCCAGTGCAGGGGGCGGCACCATGCATGCGCAGCACTCCCAGGCAGGGAAAGTCCTTGACTTACGACCAGTTGGGTAGTCCTCGACTTACGACTGTTTGGGGGTCACGGCATTAAAAAGGTTGAGAACCACTGCTTTAGAATGATAAAATTTTATGATAGCTGATGAGGTGCGCTGTGCAACACTTGCCAGATAAAGAAAATGAATATGCCAGGATAGGGAGTCATGGAACTGCTCTCCAAGATATTTATAGGTACTCACCTGTTCAATTGGAGTCCCATCAGTTTGTTATTTATGGATCTTATGATGGTAAGAGGCAAATAGTAAAACTTTAGTTTTTTCAAAATTTATTAATATTTTGTATTCTATGCAAAATAAAGCTAATGCCCTAAGTGCTTTTCTCATTCCCACCTGAGAAGTGGACAAAATAAGTATATCATCGGCATACAATAGTGCTGGAATTGCACAATCAGCCAAGATAGGTGGATGATGGGCTGGAGCAGCAAGCACTTTCATTCTTGGATTTAGGTACAATTTTAAAAATTGGGGAGCTAATATGCAACCTTGCCTTACACCTCTGTAAGTTGGGACTGCTTTAGATGAATGTCCCCAGGGGGAACATCTGATTTTTAGAGAGGTATTTGAATAGAGTGACTGAATGAGAACCAACAGCCTTTTATCAATCGTGGAATGTCTTAGACTACACCACAATCTCTCCCTTGGTATTAGATCAAAAGCTGACTTAAAATCAACAAAAGTTGCATAAAGAGAACCATGAGAGGGAGTAGAATATTTTTCAGCCAAAGGTGCAAAATTAGACAATGATCCAGTGTTGAACGTTCCTCCCTATTACAATGGCCTGATTCCAATCGGTGGAAAATGTCCTATGTTATTAATATGAGTGAATAGGATGGCTAAAACTGGGGCCCACCAATCTTTATTTTTCCTTATTAATTCTGGAGGGATAAAATTCCCTCCAGATGCGTTACCTGATTTCAACTGGGCAATAAACTCTTTGACCTCAGCTATGGATACTGGAGGCCAATCCAGGAAGTCATTACAAGGGGGGATCACTTCTGAAATTACAGCAGGAATCCGCTTAAAGATGTTTTTAAAATGATCCTCCCATTTGTCAGCAGATATTTGTGAAATAGGGCCAAAACTTCTATTTGTAAAAGACTGATTTATTAAATGCTAGAACAAAGTAGAATTTTTGAGCTTTGCTGCTGAAATTAGATTACTCCAATTTTCTTTTATAGCCTGTTGTTTCTTTATCTTTAAGAGATCTTTATAATTTTTTTGTGGTCTTGAGTAATTTAGAAGCATTCACCAAATTTTCCTGGCGAAAGGAAATTATTGCATTTAAGAGAGCTTTTTTTTTTGCTTTAATGCAATCACTATCATACCAAGATTTAGATCTTTTACGCACATGCACAAATAAGTTGTTGTAAATCTTGTCGGGGGGGGGGGTTGGAGATTAGTGGTAATTGATTGATACAACGAAAATGCTTGTTCATATGAATCAGATGACCAAATCTGAACATGCATATGAAGAAGGGGCTCTGAGGTCAACATTTAGCCATAGTTTTGGCCAGTTCTTGAGACCATTTAATTTTTACTTGCCCCTTTATTGTAATATCGATGGGCAATGTGCCACTTCTAATAATTCAAAATTTGTCTTAGCCTTAAATGTACAGATTAATGGAAAGTGGTCACTATCAAGGCGCGTTCCAATATAAAAGTAAACTATATGCTGTACAAAGTTCCGAGAGATCATAATATAATCCGGTATACTGGCTCCCTTAGGACCCCAGAATATGAACTCTCTGTTTAAATCACCTCTAACAGAGCCATTAAATAAAACCAAATCTAAACTATCCACAAATTGAGCCAGACGAAATCCTGCACTATTACATTTTTGATCTTTACATTGTCTGGCTGCTATGAGACCTACATCAATTTTAGAGGGCACTGGCCACTTAAAATATGTTTGTAGGGAAGCATCAGATTTGCCAATGCTTGCATTAAAATCCCCAGCTATTAATATAATTGAGTTTGGGTAATGCCATGATAGCAAATTTACATAGGGATCAAACTGATCCCACAGTTTGTTTGTTTCTCTATGCCCACGAAATGGAGGGAAATAGGCATTAACCAATAATGCAGTGCAAGATTTGAATCTAAGTAAAAGGGCTAACGCCATATTTGAGCAAGACTCAAGCATAGATACTGAAACACTGAGTTTAACAGATACCATAGACCTGATGGTCCTTTTTTATGCATTCAGAGTAAAGGGAATATAACCAAAATTGTGTCATTCTCGTTTGTTGATTAGGGCTAGTTTCCAGAGGTCTGGTAGGCGGGAGGTGTCTTCACATTTATTCATGTTGTGGGGGTGTTTTTCTATTTTGATGGCTTTCATAATTATTCTCTTGTTGTGGTGTTCAGTTTTGGAGATTAGTTTGGTTCTTTCAAAATCAATTTCATGTCCTGTAGCTTTAAGGTGATGGAAGAGGGAGGAAGTTTTTTCTTCTTTTCTGGCTGCATTCTTGTGTTCTGTGATGCATGCATTTATTCTCCTATTAGTTTGTCCAATGTATGTGGCTGGGCAGATTTTGCATGGTATTTCATAGACTCCTTGGTTTTCTAGCTGGATTATGTCTTTGGGGTTTCTTAAGATGTTGGCTATTTTTTGGTTGGTGCTGAAGGCTGTCTTGATATTGTGTTTGTGGAGAATTTTGCTGATTTTATCTGTGGTGCCTTTGATGCAGGGGAGGAGGGCGGGAGAAAACCCAAATAACCAAAGACCTACATATATAGTAGGCAAAGAATCTTTCTTCCAATATTGTCCAACCAATAACCTTGCCGCCGTAATAAGATTCAACATTAAAATAGTTTCTTTAACATCACAATCTACAATAATACCTAACAAGAATAATTGTGGTGAAAACTTTATCTTTCTATTAAAAATCTTCTGAATGTTCCACCAAATCTTAATCCAAAAGGCTTTTATGTTTTTACACGTCCACCAAATGTGGTAATAAGTTGCATCCAAGCATCCACATCTCCAACACTTAGACTGTAAATTAGGATACATAATATCCTAATTTACAGCAAAAATATCCTAAGTTTGCAAACTTTTGATTGTTGAAGTATTCTAGAATGTTGTGATTTAATGTGTGTCTCTTGGAGACAAATTATATCCATTTTTAGCTTTTGTAGTCTATGAAATATTTTACTCCTTTTTGATGGGGAGTTAAGACCATTTATATTTATTGAAAGAATTCTAATTTCCTCCATAGTTTCAGTTGTGTCAAGATCTCAATTTTCTAGAAGGGCTTATCTGCCTCTGATCTTTAGGCCTCACATCTTCCTCTGATTGAAACTTTTTAGGCGCTTCTTTCTCTGTTTGTTTCAATGTTCCTGCAGTCGTTTCCTCTGGTTTGTTAAGTTCTGCCTCACCTCTCTCCAAGATTATTAAAAAAGTCCTTTGTTGATCCTTCTGGGATCAACCATCTGAAGTTCAGTCCTTTACTGATCAATTTCCTCGTTAAGAATTGGTATTCTCTTCGAGCTTCTCTAATTCTTCTTGGGATCTGTTTGAGAACTATGAAATCTTTATCTTTGTATTTCAGAGTTTGGTCCCTCATAGTCTCAGGATCTCATCCCATACTGCTCTTTTGCTGAATCTAATATGAACTTCCCTAGGCACTCTATTTCTTCTTGCATAATTTGAATTCACTCTATAGACTTGATCAACTTCTCTTTTGATTTGATCCCTTTCCATTCTGAGCAAGTCCGCCAATAACTCAGTCATCAATAGTAACAAGTTGTCATCACTCTCTTCTACCACATTTTGGAATCTTAGAAAGTATGATGCACGTTCAAACTCCATCCTTGCCATATTTTCTTCCAGCTCCGCATTAGATTGCACCAATCTTTGATTTTCATCTTGGAGAGCCTCTAATTTCTTGTCTACTACTACTGACTTGTCTTCAATATTTTGCATTCGTTGACTTCCACTGGCAATGGCAGCTTTCTTCAGCTGTCCGCCCTGGGATGTGTCAAAGCCAGCTGAGACAGCAAGCAACAGCTGTCTCGCGGCTTGGAAACTCTCTCCCCGGGTGAAGGGGAGGAGGTGAGCTTTCCTCAGATAGTGGTAGAGCTCCCTGAGGCCCCAAGGTTTTCTTTTTTGGTGGTCAGAGGGTGAGCTCCCAAGGAGTCTGGGGTGTTCTCCACATTCCAGGATGCCTTTGCCCTGATTTTTCTAGGGCAAAGCTAGATGCTGCTTCCATATCTGCACTTAAAATGAACTTGTGAGTAAATTTTAAAGCAGACAGAGCTGACCAGGAGAGACTAAAACGGAGATTATTTCGGACTTTAATTCTGGAAAAGAACTTATCTTCTCCTTCTTTTAATTAAGAGTGGTGAAAAATGGCGCTGAGATGTTGATTCATTGAGTGAAAGGACTGGAACTTCTACTTGGAACAATGTAACAGATTTTGCATTTGTATAAATTGCAAGAATCTTCTTTTTTTCTTTTAAGGGGGCTTTTGTCTTTTTTCCCCTTCTCCTTTTTTCTTTTTTTTTGGGGGGGGGGTATTTGTTGATTTTATAAGATTTTAGCAGACTTTTTATAAGTGGTCTTAAAAATAAAATGGCTTCAAAGCGTCTTGAAGCTTCTGTTGCTTCTAAAGCCTCAATCTTCCTGGTAATGCAGACAGCTCAGCAAGCTAAGTCTAAGTTTCCACCATCTTCTCCATTGTCTCCAGCATCTATACTTAAAGATTTACAGGATGCCTTGGAAAAAAAGGCACGACAGGTTAAAGAAGAGATGGAGATTTTTATTGAAAATAAATTCATGAAATTGACAGAGGACATAGCGTTTGCGTTTCAAAAGTTTGTTGGTCACATAGATCTGCTGGATGAGCATATTGATGATGTTGTGGAAAATTTTGAAAAACTGGAAGATCGAATTGACAAAGTGGAAAATAATGTGGAAACAATACAGGATGAAGTTACTATGTTACAATACAAAAACATGGAATTTGCTTTAAGAATAAGGGGAATGAAGGAAAATATTCAAGAGGATTTGAGACAAGTCGTGGTAAAAGATATAGCTCTTATTTTGGGGGCTGAGCCTGAAGAAATACTGAGAGTGACGGAAAAAGTTTTTAGGGTTAATTCTAGCGTTGCGAGACAAAGGAATTTGCCACAAGATGTGGTTATCTATTTTTCTAGGAGAGTGGTTCTCAACCTGTGGGTCGGGACCCCATTTGGGGTCGAACGACCATTTCATGGGGGTCGCTAAAAAACGCAGTCTGCCATTTTTTCCCCCTTTTCCTTAGCTATGCTACTCCCTTTTATTCTATTGGCTTTTGAAAACCAATAAGTGCAACATATTTTTCCCGCCTTGTGCATGTGCAATAGGCTGGAGACAGCCTGTCTGGCCCAGGCAGCCTCATGGTCTGCCTGGGACTCTCTGCACCTGTTGTGTCAATCACAGCCCAGGACATAACAAAAGTGGTTTCCATTCTTTTAATCAGGAGACAGATTAGCTGTTTAAGAGACTTCAATTGATTGAGGCTATAACTGACCTGGGTGATTTGCAAACTCATAATCTGGTAAATCGCCAAGCTTGGGCCTCTGCCCTGCTACTACAGAGCCCAGGAAATCTCAGGTGGAGGAAATATATACCACAGCTTACTAGAACCTGAAGTGTTTGCCATAATTCCACACATTTCTTTTTCCCTGTTGGTAAAGTGCCTGTGAATAGTTTAATGCCAAAATTCAAAGATATATTAAAAAAGTGAATTTACAAGTGAGGGATGAAAAAGTTCCTAAATGTAATTGAATACTTTGCCACAGGTAGTTCTTTAGTGTTATTAGGATTAATTACGTAATCATGCAATGTAAGATGAAGGAGCCCTGGTGGCGCAGTGGTTAAAGTGCAGTATTGCACTATAGCCTACAGTTGAACCTGATGGGGCTCAAGGCTGAATCAATCTTTCATCCTTCCAAGGTCGGTAAAATGAGGACGCAGATTGGTGGGGCAATATACAAATAATGCTCTACATTGTAAGCCACCCAGAGAGTGTTGTAAAGCACTATGGGCCGTATAAAAGCCTAAATGCTATTGCTATGAAGCTGCCAGGCTGATTTTTACTGCCCTAAAAAGACAAATCAGGAGAGGTTTGCATAATTGTAGCCATGCATGGAACTCCCATGTGGAAAACCTTGTCCCAGAAAGTAGGTTCCTATACTGTAATTGGACTATTTGAATTCGCCTATACCCTAAGGCAGCAATGCTGGCTGTGGAATTCTGGGAGTTGAAGTCCACATGCCTTAAAATTGTCAAGGTTGAGAAACACTGCCCTAAGGCAAGACTTGGACTGTCCCTTATTTGAGCTGCAAAGACATTTAATACTTTCCCATTTCTTAATAATTTCCCAGAAGGAGATTCTGCAGAGCTGGAAGGGTATATAAGAATGTTTTTTTTTCTTGTTTCAAATAGAGTCTAACTATCCATTGAGGCTCTATTAAATATTGCTGAACCTTGTTTCCACCATCCCTTTCACCCTTATTAGAGGCCATATTAAGGACAAAGTTGAAACCCAGTAAACATGCTTTCATGACCCAGTTAGGATTTTTAAAGGTAAAACACACAGGTAAAATGTAAAAAAAAAAAAAAATCACACACCTTAAAGTTTTTCTCACTGGCCTGCATGGAGTCTACAATGCTGGAATGTTTTTTGTGCCAGGCAGATGATGGGATTACTGACAGAGCCTGAAATGCAAATTTGTCTTGGAGGCAGCACAGTGGATTAGGCAATAACAGCTGAGAAAGCAAAAATGTCCTTTTTCCTAGGGCTAAGAGAGAATGTCATCAGACTGGCTTTCATGGCTAAAGTAAGGCTTGAACCCCCATTCTTTTACTTTCTAGTCTGGTGCCTTAAGCTCTAAACCAAACTGGCCCTTTTATAAAAGCTTGCTTTTTCCTTGATTCCAAGGAAAAGGAAAACAGATTTAGTATACACATTTTAGCAATAACTTCTCACCCCTTGCAATACTAAGGATTCCAAATGCATTATTAATGATAAATCCAAGGCCTTTTTCTTTACAAAACAATATTTTCTTTCCTTTTTCTTTACAAAACAATATTTCACTATAATCCATTCAGATGTTTGTTGATCCTCATTACAAATTACTTCATTACATCTGTTGGCATAATGTGTTTCTTCCAATAACTTCTCACCCCTTGCAATACTAAGGATTCCAAATGCATTATTAATGATAAATCCAAGGCCTTTTTCTTTACAAAACAATATTTTCTTTCCTTTTTCTTTACAAAACAATATTTCACTATAATCCATTCAGATGTTTGTTGATCCTCATTACAAATTACTTCATTACATCTGTTGGCATAATGTGTTTCTTCCAATAACTTCTCACCCCTTGCAATACTAAGGATTCCAAATGCATTATTAATGATAAATCCAAGGCCTTTTTCTTTACAAAACAATATTTTCTTTCCTTTTTCTTTACAAAACAATATTTCACTATAATCCATTCAGATGTTTGTTGATCCTCATTACAAATTACTTCATTACATCTGTTGGCATAATGTGTTTCTTCCAACATAGTCCCCATACAGTTTCTGGTGCAGTTCCTCAAAGATATCTCTGAATGCCATTATAAATTGCTTGTCTTTTGTCTCCAATATCAAAAATATTTTTTTCTTTTCCACAAATTTATATTTATTTTTTAAAATAATTCCAGAGTCTTAATAATCAAAATCCAATATTCCAATGTTTTCTTACCCCTTAATCTTTTTAAAACGTTCTGTATACAAAACCTTGTCTTGCTTTTTGCTGTTTATTTTAAATTCTTAAAATTATAAAAATAGATATTAATTTTCTTTTCTTTTTTAAAAACAAGTTTTATTAGTTTTTTCTTTTTACAGACAAGTCCTTAAGAATCAACGTGGTGGCAGGGTAATCAATTGTCCAAAAGCAAAGTCATACTTATATAGTTCAAATTAAATCATTAGAAACCCCCTCTCTATTCCCTCAGATAATATATTATATTCAAATTAATGTATTTCAATACAACTAAGTCAATCAAAACAATAATAATAATAATAATAATAATAGTAAAGTTGGAAGGGACCTTGGAGGTCATCTAGTCAAACCCCTGCTCCCAATGATCAATAACATTTCATCTAAATAAGTCCAAATCCTGTGTTCACCTTTATTATTACAATTGCTATATTCCATTTTGCTACTATAAATACATAATTAACACATTTAAGATAGAAAAATATGGGGTAGACAGAATCACCACCAGATGGATCCATAGCTGGCTGACCGGCCATACTCAGCGAGTGGTCCTCAATGGAACTGCATCTATATGGAGGGAAGTGTGTAGTGGGGTGCCCCAGGGCTCTGTTCTGGGCCCAGTACTCTTCAACATCTTCATCAACGATTTGGATGAAGGGATAGATGGGGAACTCATCAAATTTGCAGACGACACCAAGCTGGCAGGAATAGCCAACACTCCAGAAGACAGGCTTAAGATACAGAAGGATCTGGACAGACTTGAAAACTGGGCACTAACTAACAAAATGAAATTCAAGGGTGAAAAAAGCAAGGTTCTACATTTAGGCAAGAAAAACCAAATGCACAAGTACAGCATAGGTGGCACCATGCTCAATAGTAGTAACCGTGAGAGGGACCTCGGAATCCTAGTAGACAATCACCTAAATATGAGCCAGCAGTGTGCTGCAGCTGCCAAAACGACTAACACAGTGCTAGGCTGCATTAACAGAGGGATAGAATCAAGATCACGTGAAGTATTAATACCACTCTTCAATTCCTTGGTAAGGCCACACTTGGAATACTGCATCCATTTTTGGTCACCACGATGTTAAAAAGATGTTGAGACTCTAGAAAGAGTACAGAAAAGAGCAACAAAGATGATTAGGGGACCGGAGGCTAAAACATATAAGGAACGGTTGCTAGAATTGGGTATGTCTAGTTTAACGAAGAGAAGGACAAGGGGGGACATGATAGCAGTATTCCAATATCTCAGGGGCTGCCATAAAGAAGATGGAATTAAGCTATTTTCCAAAGCACCTGAAGGCAGGACAAGAAGCAACGGGTTGAAACTAATCAAGGAGAGAAGCAACCTAGAACTAAGGAGAAACTTCCTGACAGTGAGAACAATTAATCAGTGGAACAGCTTGCCTCCAGAAGCAGTAAATGCTCCAACACTGGAAGTTTTTAAGAAGAGACTGGACAGACATTTGTCCGAAATGGTGTAGGGTTTCCTGCCTGAGCAGGGGGTTGGACTAGATGACCTCCAAGCTCCCTTCCAACTTTACTACTATTACATATTACACTTCAGGTGTCTCTCCATTCCCCTTTTCCTTGACGTAATCAATAATCATTTATTAATATCATTTCTTCTTTTTTCTTATTCTTCCATTACAAAATAACTATCTCTAATAATATTTCTAATAACAGTCTTGATTTATATGAAAAATGCACATAGACGTAAACAGACTCAGAAACGCAAAGAGTTGGAAGATGAGATTAAATGTAAGGAAAAGGTTTTAATATCAAACCTAATGGATAATAACTTAAAGGTTTCTATAACTCTGCTTAAGGAGCAATTTAATATGTTAATAGCAGATCAGATTGCAACTAATTTGAGGTATATGAAATATAATACATTTTGCAATGCAAATAAACCTGGTAGATGGTTGGCTTACCAATTACAAAAGAAACAGAAATCAAGGACTATAGAGAAAATAACTTATAAAGGTAAAGAAGTGTATCAATAAAATTTGATTAAAAAGACTTTTTTAGATTTTTATTCAAAGTTATATGCTAGTGAAAGTATACAAATTTTAGATATAGAAAAATATTTACAGGAAGCACACTTTTCTAGATTTACGTTTGATCAACGTGATGGGATTAATGGTTTAATTACTTCTGAAGAGATTATTTTTGCAATTAAACAATTGAAGGTTGGTAAGACTCCAGGTACTGATGGATTAACAGCAATTTATTATAAGATGCTATCTGAAGAAATGATAGAACCATTAAAGGAACTTTTTAATGATATTTGTTGGGAGCAGAGCTACCTCCATCTTGGAGAAGGGCTTTTATATCATTGATTCCAAAGGAAGACCAGGATCTGTCCCAACCTAGAAATTATAGGCCTATATCTCTTTTAAATACAGATTATAAGATTTTTGCAAAGATATTGGCAAATAGATTAATGCGGGTCTTGAAACAATTGATTCATACTGACCAATCTGGATTTATAATGGGAAGATATATGAAATATAATGTAAGACAAATTGTTAATTTAATAGAGTATTTGGATAAGAACAACCAAATTCCTGCTGCTTTTATATTTATAGATGCTGAAAAAGCTTTTGATCAATTAGATTGGAAATTTTTATTGAAAGTCGTAGAGGAAGTGAACTTTGGAGATAAATTTTTGTGTGCTCTCAAGGCCATATATCAGCAACAATCTGCACAAATTATAATTAATGGGGGACTAACGGATGTTTTTTAAAATAGAAAAGGGTATAAGACAGGATTGTCCCTTATCCCCTTTGTTATTTGTATTAACAATGGAGATTTTACTTATTAAAATTCGAGATTCATCTAAATTAAAAGGAATAAAAATAAGTAAGAATGATTATAGGCTGAGAGCTTTTGCTGATGATTTGGTTGTGATATTATCCCATCCAACAGATTCGGTCAGAGACTTGGTTGAAATTTTAACGCAATATGGACAGGTCTCTGGTTTTAAGGTGAATAAGAATAAAACTAAAATATTATTGAAAAATATGTCTATGAAGGGAAAGGATATTATAGTTAAAGCAACAGGTTTTGAAGTAGTTAACAAGGTTAAGTATTTAGGAGTATATATCACAACATCTAATGGGAAGTTGTATAAGAATAATTATGAATACTTATGGATAAAAGTACAAAAAGATTTAAATGATTGGAAAAAATTACAATTATTGTTGTTGGGGAGAATTTCAGTAGTAAAAATGAATGTTCTACCAAAGTTTCTTTTTCTGTTTCAGATGATACCTATTTTAAAAAAAGATGCTAATTTGGATGAGTGGCAGAAGGGTATCAATAAATTTATTTCGGGTGGGAAGAAACCAAGGGTAAAGTTCAAGATTTTACAAGACACTCGAGAAAGAGGTGGACTTAAAGCAACTAATTTGAAATTATATTATGATGCAGCCACTTTAACTTTGGTAAGTGATTGGCTTAATTTAACAAATAAACATATTCTTCCTCTTGAAGGTTGGGATTTATTATATGGCTGGCATGCATATTTAATTTTCGATAAGAAAGTAGATTTGGTTTTTAAGTTGCATATTTTAAGAAATGCCTTACTTCGAATCCGGAAGAAGTATTATTATAAGTTAAATTATAAAATCCCCTTTATGGATTACTGCCTTGTCGTGGCGAAGGGGCTTGTGTAACTGAATGAAGCTATAAGCTATGCCGTGCAGGGCCACCCAAGACGGATAGGTCATAGCAGAGAGTTCTGACAAAATGTGATCCACTGGAGAAGGAAATGGCAAACCACTCCAGTATCTTTGCCATGAAAACCCCATGGACAGTACTAAAAGGCAAAAAGATATGACGCTGGAAGATGAACCCCTCAGGTTGGAAGGTGTCCAATATGCTACCGGGGAAGAGCAGAGGGCTAGTACTAGTAGCGCCAGAAAGAATGAAGTGACTGGGCCAAAGCCGAAAGGACGCTCAGCTGTGGATATATCTGGTGGTGAAAGGAAAGTTCTCCATAGGAACCTGGAATGTAAGATCCAAGACTGAACATCGACATCTTAGGAATCAGTGAACTAAAATGGACAGGAATGGGTGAATTTAACTCAGATGACCATCAAGTATACTACTGTGGGCAAGAATCCCTCAGAAGAAATGGAGTAGGCTTCATAATCAATAAAAGAATAGGAAAAGCAATACTGGGATACAATCCCCAAAAATGACAAAATGATCTCAGTTCGAATCCAAGGCAAACTATTCAATATCACAATAATCCAAATCTATGCCTCAACCACTTGTGCTGAAGAGGATGAAATTGACCGGTTCTATGAAGCCCTATAGCACCTTATAGAATTAACACCAAAAAATGATGTCCTTATCATCATGGGGGATTGGAATGCTAAGGTAGGAAGCCAAAAGATAACCGGAATAACAGGCAAGTTTGGCCTTGGAGTACAAAATGAAGCAGGGCACAGGATGATAGAATTTTGTCAAGAGAATACGATGGTCATAACAAACACTCTTTTCCAACAACCCAAGAGACTGCTCTACACATGGACATCACCAGACGGTCAACACAGAAATCAGATTGACTATGTGCTCTGCAGCCAAAGATGGAGAAGCTCTATACAGTCAGTAAAAACAAGACCAGGAGCTGACTGTGGCTCAGATCATGAGCTTCTCGTTGCAAAATTTAGGCTTAAATTGAAAAAGTAGGGAAAAGCACTGGGCCACTCAGGTATGAACTAAATCATATTCCTGATGAATATACAGTAGAGGTGACAAATAGATTTAAGGAATTAGATCTGATAGACAGCGTGCCTGAAGAACGATGGATGGAATTTCGCAACATTGTACAAGAGGTAGCAACTAAAACCATCCCAAAGAAAAAGAAAAGCAAGAAAGCAAAATGGCTGTCTGAGGAAGCGTTGCAAATAGCTGAGGAAAGAAGAGAAGCGAAAGGCAAGGGAGAAAGAGAAAGATACACCCAATTGAATGCAGAATTCCAGAGAATAGCTAGAAGAGATAAGAATGCCTTCTTAAATGAACAGTGCAAAGAAATAGAAAAAAACAACAGAATAGGGAGGACCAGAGATCTCTTCAAGAAAATTGGAGATATGAAGGGAATGTTTCATGCAAAGATGGGCATGATAAAGGACCAAAATGTTAGGGACCTAACAGAGGCAGAAGAGATGGCAAAACTACACAGAAGAACTATACAAGAATGAGCTTAACGTCCCAGATAACCACAAGGAGATGGTCACTGACCTTGAACCAGACATCCTAGAATGTGAAGTGAAATGCGCCTTAGAAAATCTGAGCAACAACAAAGCTAGTGGAGGTGACAGTATT